AGGTAGTTGAAATGCTCAATGGCCTGTTCATGGATACGGTAATATCGCATCAATAATACGGTAATTAATGTATATGGTAATATATCAATAAAGGAAAAAATGAGTAAAAATCACAGAAAATCTCATTTATTCTACCTCTACATCATCTACAACGAAAGAGGAGGACTTCAGAGTACTGTTAGTAATGGATGAGTACAGTCTGTGTGCTTCAAATGTTTTAAAATTAAGTTTTATTCCAAGTGTCCCGAGTAGCCCCGTTTGACGGGGCTATTCAGGACACTCTTTATTTGCTTCTGGCACCTTACAAATAGCATATGAAATTCTTTTTGAGAAGCATTGCGATAGCCCTTGCAAAGAGCTTTGAAATGAGCCTAAACTTATTTATGAAATGTTTCATGGTAAGAAGTTATGAATGAAAAACGTTCGAAATCGTCCCTAGTAGCCCCAGTTGACAGTATCTATCTATGAACCGTAAAATGGGGTAACTTTGACCACTTTTTTTTTTCAAAATGATGCCATTTTTTTACTAGATAAGTTAAACTTGAATTGAAACATGCAAAATACAGGTCTATACTCTAGCTTCACTCACCATGAATTGCTGGCTCCTGCCTCTCATAGTTTTGATGTAATTTTAAAAAAAAAGTGATGGTCTTTGTTACCCCAGCTCTTGGGGTTTCTTTGACCGGGTGGTAAAATCAATTTAATTTTTTGGTAAAATAACTCCAAATAACTCAAGGTTTTGGTGCATTGTAGTAGAACTCTTCTAGTTACATATGCAAATGACAAATTTGTGGGAAGTGTCATAGTTTGCAAATTGGGGGCACCGCCCCCCAATGGGCGAAATGTGACCACCTAATGGCAGCCGTGATGGGGTAACATTGACCGGCTCGGAAATTAAGTTAGAATTACCATATATAAGACTCTGTAGAGTCTGAAACATAAAGAAAAAAACATTAACAGGTGTATCAAACATAAAATATGTTATATAGGTACCTATGGTAATTTTAACTCAATTTCCAAGCCGGTCAATGTTACCCCATCTCGGCTGCCATTAGGTGGTCAAAGTTCCCCCATTGGGGGGCGGTGCCCCCCATTTGCAAACTATGACACTTTCCTGAAATTTGTCATTTGCATATGTAACTAGAAGAGTTCTACTACAATGCATCAAAACCTGGAATTATTATACCAAAAAATAAAAAAATTGGAGGGGGTACTCCGACAGGCTTTAAATAATAGCTCTTTTTCGTGGGTCACATTATTAATTTTTTAACCTATTAGATATGCAAACTTTTCAAATCTTTCTATTGTGTTACGTAGCCTCAGTATTAGGCCTTTGATGGCCATTGACAAAATTTTTCTATGTCAAATAGTTTTTGAGTTTTGGGGGTTTTTGTTAAAAAAACGAAAAGTGGTCCAAGTTACCCCGCCGGTCAAAGTAACCCCATTTTATGGTACCTAATAACAATATGTGTAAATGTACTTAGAAGTAAGTGTACTTAGAAGAAGTTACTTTGCAGTAACTTCTAACGGATACATTTTGGTAATAGGTTTAATGACTTTTCCTGAGTCTGTAACTAATTCTACCGAATGAACAAGGTTATTGTTACAATCAATCAAAGAAATTACTCTTCCTAATTCCCAAAGTACACGAGGATGATTGCTATGAATTTATACAATATCTCCTATCATAACAGTATTACCATATGGCCAATGTAAGTCCACAAAGCCATCGTAAGTCACCACAGCCAAGGTAAGTCCACACAGCCATCATAAGTCTGCATGGCCATCATAAGTCCACATGGCCATCATAAGTCCACATGGCAATCTTAAGTCCACACGACCATTGTAGGTCTGCACGGCCATCATAAGTCCACATGGCAATCTTAAGTCAACACGACCATTGTAGGTCTGCACGGCCATCATAAGTCCACATGGCCATCATAAGTCCACATGGCCATCATAAGTCCACACGGCCATCATAAGTCCACATGGCCATCATAAGCCCACACGGGAAATATCCACAGAACTAATGGTACAAAAAGAAGGCTAAATGATCTGCACCCTAGCGGAGGGCCGCTAGGGTACTGTAGACCTTATCACAATGTCTTAACGTCATTTCAGCATGACTTTCTGTATTTTGGATATAAGTGTGTATCATTACATTGCATATAAATTTGTTATAATGTAATAAAATTAATTGGTATCATTAAATACAGCCAAAATGAGTATAAGCTCTTCATAGCATTATTTTTAGTCGTAATCAATTTTCTGTTGATTCAAGGATGTACAAAGAAATCTATTTATGCTTCTCTATTATTGAACTACTTGGAGGGCTGCCTTCTGGGCGCTGGCTGCTGCTAGTTTGTTTGGTTGTTGAAGGCACACATCCCAACATCATCATTGTCATGTGACATGACAATGTATCAGTGTATGATATGATGTATTGTCATGTGACATGAGTGACATGACAATGTATCAGTGTGTGACATGATCTATTGTCATGTGATATGACAATGTATCAGTGTTATGTACCTATAAGTCTTAAAGACAGTGTTGCCAGACCATTCTGTTGGGAATTTCTGATGACAGCTATGTCTAAGCATATTTAATTTTAAAAAAAGCTTTTGCGCTTGAAAACTATTTTTCCATTATTTAGACTGATGAATAATTTCTTATAATTAAATAACAGGGTGTGTACTGGTCATGGAAAACCTGGAAAGTCATGGAATTTGATTTTTCATTTTCCAGGCCTGGAAAGTCATAGGATTTTATTTCAGCTTATGTAAAGTCATGGAATTTGCAAATAAAGGAATAAAAAAAGGAAGTGTTTTTCTGGTGTGTTAACCCATTAATGCCAAGCAGTTCCTTTTGGAACCAGCGGAAAAAAATGAATTCGTAATAAAATTGTAAAATCAAATAAATATACAAGTGGATGCATAGGTTTGATACACATCTTGTCATGTTTGTGTCAAAGTTTGGTTCTGCTGTGCCGACTTCTCTCTTTTTAGTTAACATTCAAAGATTACTAGAACCGGGTCATGGAAAAGTCATGCAATTTTTTTTTTAAATACTGGTACCTACACACCCTGAAATATATTTAGAATGATTAAATGATTTCTGACTCCTTTCATTAACCATAGAACCTCTAATAACCATATCAGTGCACTATAAGTATATATAGAACAAGCAAAATCTGCCATCTAATATTAATATTTGATTACTTCATTTGTCCACTTTCTGAGGAATTGGTTCTTCACCACTTGCCTTGCATCCATACAGAATATTTGATTACCTAAATATGGTATGTAAACAAACTACTATGTTGCCATAAGAATACGGAGAAAATTTCTTCTAGAATAAAGTTCTAGATTACTTACTTTGACCAAATTATTCATATCAAGAGAAGTCATATATTATTGGGGGATAATTAAATGTATAGTGAATATTTTGAGTTTTTTGTCTGTTGTATTTGTGCCAAACGGCGCAGCTTGTAATCGATTGCCGGAATTGGCACAGAAACCTGCGCAAAGAGAAAATATATAGGTAGATAATTTTGCGCAAATTGCACCGACCATCAGGTTAAAAAAACTCATTATGCGCAGGAAAATTTCCCAAAAGCCTACATTATCCTAAGTGTGGAGTGGAACCTTGATTAGTAAAGGCTCCAGTTAACAAAAGAAAAAAAATCATTAACAACAAAAAATTTTTATTGCATTTACCTCGCTCAGCAAAAAAATTTAACTTAACAAAAATTAATGCATCATTGGTCATCACAAAATTGTGCATAGAATGTCATGGATATAATTGGCACTGGGGAACATAGAATGAAAAGTAATTAATCTAAACAATAATTTATACCTAAAAAAAATATGTTGGTCCTCAATAAGATATTCCTTTCTATTTCACCTATGTTTTGTACAATATTTTTTGTTATAGTGAGTTCACTTGACCCTGTCAAAATGATGCGAAATTACAAGCCATCCTGTAAGCTTACACATACAGAAGAAATGCTGCATGGTTGCTGAGCTTGCAGTGGACAAGGTGGTTATCACTGCTCAATGGCATGTTCATGGATACAGTAATATCACATCAATAGTACGGTAATGTATGGATATGGTTATATCATATCAATAAAGGAAAAACAATTAAAAATCACAGAAAATGTCATTTATTCTACAACCACATCATCTAAAAAGGAAGAGGAGGACTTCAGAGTACTGTTAGTAAAGAATGAGGACACTCTGAATGCTTCAAACATTTTAAAATTAAGTTTTATTTTAAGTGTCCTTCCTGGATTACTCCATTCCCAGGGTTTATTAGGGACGCCTTTATTTTGCATCTGGCACCTTACAAATAGCATATAGAATTTTTTTGGAGATGACATACGATAGCCCTCATAAAGGCCTTTAAAATGAGCCTAAAGTTGTTTATGAAATGTTTCATAGTAAGAAGTTATTAATGAAAAATGCTCTAAACCGTTCCTTATTACCCCATTTGACGGCATATAAACCATAATTTCTAGAATTCCATTCTGTCCCCATATTTCCATGCTTTGTTACCAGTAAAATTAATCACCTGAAATGAGAATTTACAAGCAAAATGTAGAAAATCATGTCATGTGCAGCTGCTGCAAAATTTTTTTGCACAAACTTTAGAATTAGAATGATGGTATCAAAAATTTATTTTGATACCTCTTCTTCCTTGGGGATGCAAATCTTCCAAAGTGATGAAAAAACAAGATCAAATGATACAAATACTTGTGCCAACTGCTGACACCAAGCAGGGCAATTTTTTATTTGCCTTCTATGGCTTTGCAAGATTTAAATTCCAATATATGTAACACATATATTTGAATGCCAGCATCTTCAATGATGAAAGGCTCAAAAATTAATTTGCCTTGGTCCTAATTTGAAGACCTTGACTTCCAAAAAATTGCTATCTATAAATGTAAGTAAAATAAAATACAATTTTATTTCATTCACTATATATCATGTTACTTTATTTTGTTGCAGATTATTTACATTTTTACTCTCCTATATATTGCTGCTGGGCACAGAATGTGTTGGCAGGCTGCCTGTGTCTTGTGACAGGGCTCAAGATGTGGCGTGTATGTGCCATACTCACGGCTCTTATGCTTGGCTCTGGGGAGGCCATGTTTGATCTCTTCATTGAAGCCAAGGATTTCCAGAAACTGCTTGGTAATTATCTGTATTGTCTGCACAGTTTTTCAGCTTGCATATGGAGATTTTCCCATTACATTGCACCTATTATGTTTTTTTGTTTGTAGACAGGTTTATTCCAGACTTATAGGAATTAGAGAATTGTTGATGAAGTTGCATTTAGAAAAGTAATTTAAATGTTAAAATAAATCTTCATAAGCCCAATGCATGTAAAAAATTATTCTGTTTTGACTGTTTATAAATCTAATTCATTAATGCAACAGCTGAGCAGAGGATGTTCTTGGTATACTTAATCTGAAATATTACTTGTATGACTGCCTATTAGCCAAATATTTGGTATCCTAAACATACTAATCCATGTGTACACTTGTGCCCAAAATTATTCATACCCTAACGTCATTTCGACAAATTACGAGAAATAGACAAAAAATAATTATCTAAAACTTTAAAGCAGATGTAAACCGTTTATGAACCATATAACATGTATTTAGAAACCAAAAAACATTATTTTTTTAGTTTTGTAAAGAAATTCAAAGGAAACATAAAACTGACTCATGACCAAATTTATTCGTACCCTGAATCAATAGTTAATATCATGGCCTTTTTACTCGTGATAACTTGTTGTAAACGCTTTGGGTAATGGTCAACAAGGTTCCTGCATGTATCGACGCTAAGTTTCGTCCATTCTTCCAAGGCATCTGTTCCCATTCTTTCAAATTTTTAGGTTGTCTCTTTTTCATCTCTATTGTCAGTATGTGCCACAAATTCTCAATTGGATTGAGATGGGGAATTTGACTAGACCATTCTGTGACATTGATGTGAGAATCCTCGAACCACTTCTTGACTATTTTCTATGTGTGCTTCGAATTATTATCCTGCTGAAGAATCCAATCAGAACCAAGAAAAAACTTTCTGCATCCTGCTTGATGTTATTTTTGACAATATCAAAATATTATTCTTTTTACATGATTCCGATTACTTTGACCAGACTTCCAGGTCCCCTGGCAGAAAATGAACCCCCAAAAGATAACATTCCCACCACCATGTTTAGCTGTGGGGATTGTTTTCTTTGGATTATGAGCCTCACCTTTTTTTCGACAAGCGTAAGCAACATTCATTTGCTCGAATTATTCAATTTTAGTCTCATCTCTCCACAAAATCTTGGATAAAAATGAGGTTTGGGAATTGACAGGAATTTTAGGAAACTTCTGGCGTGCTTTCACATGCTTTTCTGTTACTAAAGGGGTTTTCCTGGGTCGACAACCCTAGAGTCTGTTACAACGCATTGTTCTTTGCAATGTTTGTCTTGATACCTTCATGTCAAAAGCATCCAAATTTGATAGAATTTCCTTACTAGTGATCCTATAATTGTTGCAAATGGAACGTATTATGTTTCTAGCGCATCTAGGGGAGATTTTTCCTTTCCTTCCTTGACCAACCAGGTTATCCACCGTGATAAATGATTTGAATTTTTTTTATAATGCTCTGTATTGTAGATGTAGGAACATCAAAATTCTTAGATATTGCTTTATATCTCATCTCTTCTTTGCGGGAATTTACAATTTTGCTTCCAAGATCATTACTAAGCTCTTTTTCTTTGCCATCTTCAAACTTTTAGCAAAATTTTAGCTTTTTCCTAAATTGTGAAAAAATGATATTTTCAAACTTTGCAGAGAAAAATATTACAATGCTTAGTAACACCAAATTTTGAAATACAATTATTGAGCATCTACTACTATTTTCATTAATAGTTCTTCTTAAATGTTATGATAAATGATGTGGAATAAGAGGGTACGAATAATTCTGAACAGTTAGTTACTCACAAAATTCGAAGTAATTACCGTAAAATGGGGTTACTTTGACTCCCGGGCTAATTTTGACCACTTTTTGTTTTTTTTTACAAAAACCCCCAAAACTCAAAAACCATTTGATATAGAAAAATTTTGTCAATGGCCATTAAAGGCCTAATACTGAGGCTACGTAACACAATAGAAAGATTTAAAAAATTTGCATATCTAATAGGTTGAAAAATTAAAAATGTGACCCACAAAAAAGAGCAATTATTTAAAGCCTGTCAGAGTACCCCCTCCAATTTTTTTATTTTTTGGTAAAATAACTCCAGGTTTTGATGCATTGTAGTAGATCTCTTGTAGTTACATATGCAAATGACTAATTTTAGGAAAGTGTCATAGTTTGCAAATGGGGGGTGCTGCCCCCCAATGGGGGAACTCTGACCACCTAATGGCAGCTGTGACAGGGTAACATTGACTGGCTTGGAAATTAAGTCAAAATTACCATAGGTACCTATATAACGTATTTTATGTTTGATACACCTATTAATGTTTTTTCTTTATGTTTCAGACTCTACAGAGTCTTATATATGGTAGTAATTTTAACTGAATTTCCAAGCCGGTCAATGTTCCCCCATCACGGCTGCCATTAGGTGGTCACATTTCACCCATTGGGGAGCGGTGCCCCCAATTTGCAAACTATGACACTTTCCTAAAATTTGTCATTTGCATATGTAACTAGAAGAGTTCTACTACAATGCACCAAAACCTGGAGTTATTTGGAGTTATTTTACCAAAAAATAAAATTGATTTTACCACCTAGTCAAAGAAACCCCAAGAGCTGGGGTAACAAAGACCATTACCTTTTTTGAAATTACATCAAAACTATGAGAGGCAGGAGCCAGCAATTTATGGTGATTGAAGCTAGAGTATAGACCTGTATTTTTCATGTTTCAACTTAAGTTTAACTTATCTAGTAAAAAAATGACTTCACTTTGAAAAAAAAGTGGTCAAAGTTACTCCATTTTACGGTACTATCAAAAGTTATTATATACATATTTTCTAGCATTAAATTTGTTGTACATAATAATGACAACCCTTCCTAGAAGAATAAGTTGTATATGATCTCTATTGTTCATTAAAATTGGAATTTTATTATATTTCTGATGGGGTATGAATAATTTTGGGCATAAGTGTAGATAAATATGCTGTCTTGGAGATAGAGAATTAGCAAGTAGATAGGGAACTACCTACCATAAAACAGTTTGACTTAAACCATTTTTAGCACTTAATTTTTGTGATACAAATAGTTAATTACAAATACTAGTAAATATATGAAATATCTCTCTTTATTGCATTTGTAGGTTATCTCATGGCACTTCAAGAGCCATCAACACAATTTTTCTTAGGCAAGAACTTTTTGAGGACAGGATTTTCTCATATTAAATGTCAAAACATCATGGTCCAAGTCACCCCATTTTATTGTACATAGATTCTCATTTTATATTCTCCACAATTAATGATCTTGCACAACAATTAAACTATAAAAACTTGAATAAATACCACCATCGCTCAATCAAGTCTGGAATGTGACATCTGATACAGGTGAGATATCAGTGTATCTCAAACAATAAAGAGTTGACTCAAGTGTAACTTGAACATTGTGCCTTGTTGCAGGAGTGAACTCCGAGTTGTGGTATGTGCGTGATGGGGAAGTGAAAGAAAATGCCCTTGACTATGTTGTGCCAGTGCCTTCTGACATCAGCGTCCTCACATTCCAGTGGAGAGCACGGCACAACATCCTGGTTAGTCATGATTTATAATAATCTAGTCTATATAAAAACTAAAACTCCAGACTTCTTCAGAGTTCTTCTGGACTATAACTTATAGTCCAGAAGAACTATAACTCCAGTCTATATAAGAACTACCTATAGATGTAATGATGGGATATGGGTGTAGGATATATGACACATTATTATTAATTACTTATTATTTAATTGATAGTCATAATAATAATATCAATGATTGTTTTTGTAGCTGCCGTATGCTGCCCAGACTCATGTGGGCAACCCTGAGGCTGCTCTAGTGAAGCTCAGTGTGAACACCACAGGCAGCGTCCCTACCTCCACTCAGCCCTTCCACCTCATCATCAATTGCACAGGAAAACTTTCTACACAGGTAATGAATAGCTGTCCACACAACTCTGACACTTCCATGCAACATTTGCTCCATCAGCTGTTTACATATGGCTGTTGATCTGTTTATCATGGGCAATTTGAACATCATTTTTATGCCACTGGATTTTGTTATTGTTGTGAGGAGTATTACAATAACCATTGCATTTATGTTCCATTAAGATAAAATTTTTAATTCTAGTTCATAATAATTTCAAACCATTTCTTCTAAATTGTATTTCCACAAGCCCACAGATTATGACCTGCTCTCTTTGCACATTCATTCAAGAGTATATGTATTCAATACATTCAAGTGTATGTATGTATATATGTGCGTATGTATGTATGAACGTATATAATTTAAATTTTTTTCATTTAATGTGGAGCTATTCCTCAAGCCATTGGGGTAACCACTTTTCTTCAATAAATGAATAAATGAACACTCCAGCAAGACAATGCCATTACAATAGGGTTAACCTGGCCAGCTTGCTATGACTTAGTGTAACTAACTAATCTGTTTCAAATTAGGATTTGGATCTCAGCCTCACACACCATTTGAACATGAACTGGATAATTTTTCCTTTTTTCATGATTTTATACAGAAAATTTTGGATTTCCATGTTCAATATAATTCTTGAGATCCAAGTATTTGTATAATCTTTTTGTTCCAGGTGGATGTGACGCTCAACATACAAGTGCCATTGCGAGCTTCCCTTCATCATCTCACCAACCTCACCATCCACAGACGGAAAATATGCTACCGAAGTGAGCATCACACCCAAGACATGCTGCCCAAAGCAAAACTAAAATTGATCAAAGACCATAAACAGGCTTTAGTTTATGAGTATCTTTATGAACAAGGCTGTGAAATTCACTTTCATTTATATTCAGACCTGCTTGGGTGTTTCTGCTTATTTGGCTATTTTGATTGAATATACCACATTTTTCAGACAACCTATTATATAAATGTGCTGTGTCATCAACAAATTTAATTACATGACACTCGTGTTACAGACGCCACTTGTCATAGATGTCATTTTTACAGACGCGGGTGAGAACGTGACAACGGGGAGCAGCGTACCGCGAGGGGGCGGGGTCGTCGTGTACGTGGCGGTTGCCGCCCTCGCTGCCTTCTTGCTGCTCGTCGCTGCCCTCGCTGCCCACAACCACCGTACCCGCCACACCAAGCATGGTCGTCGCTCACGCAGGTCAGCCTGTCTGTTATACTCTCCTACTAAACCCAAACCTTGCTCTCCTTTTCCTTCCTTCTTCTCTGTATGGACATGTCCTTCCCATTCTAGCCCCCTCCTCATTACCACAACAAGCATGGTCGTCATACACGCTAGTCAGCCTCACTTATCTATCCTTACCTCCCTACTCCTACCGAGCCTCACCCACCTTATCCTTCATTTCTCCATCTTCTCTTTATGTACATGCCCTTCCCTTCCAATCTCCCCCTCTCTTTCACTCCTCTGCCAGCCATAATAACCTCGTTTTGAGCCCTAGACGAAGGCAGTGAAATGAATGCTTGTGCAGCTATAACGTTTTGAGTCTCTGTGATGCCGGTTCATAAGCTTCAGGAACATTTTATATACCGCCTTGTGCATCCTGGTTACCTTCACGAGTATCTCAAGTGAAAGCAGGGTTGGCAATGATTAAATCAAAATGATTAAATCATGTGATTAAATCACTTGATTTTTTATAAAAAAATCATGATTTTTGATTTATACGATTTTTTTTTCATATATTTAAATATATTGAGTGGCAGTCTTTAATTTATATTGAGGTATTGTTATTCATGGTTTAGTATAAATGTACTATGAATGACAAATTGGTATATAAACTTGTTGCCTTTAGTGTGTATTAGGTTCCAATAAATTGAATGTTTTTGATACAGAGGCATCAAGTGTGCAATACATTGTACAGCTAAAACTTAAAAGCAAAGAAAACTCCACAAAAATTCATAGTATCTTTAAAGAAAACGTTTCGGAGTCCAGCTCCATTGTCAGTTCGAAAATTCTAGAACACAGATAAATCAGTAATTAGTACAGTCATGATTGCAACAAAAAACCTAAGCTGTAAAACCTATCTATTTACAATTTCAAGCGGGTAAGAGCTATAAGCTAAATTCAAACTAGGCCTCTGTTTAAAAATATACAATGATTCTAAAATGCGCAAATCAGTAACACCGGAACTGGAAGCTAAAACTTTGAAGTCACTGTCAGACACTGGAACATCGCACTGCTCGGCGTGAGCCCGCACAGCTGAATGAGGGGGGCGCAAATGTTACGTGTTATATTGGTCAACCATTTTAAAATCGGTTCTTTTTTTAGGTACAAAGATACCCTCTTATGCATATGCGAGCGCCCCTAGTTTATTTAAACACCACCTTGGCCTGTTGGCCATTATTGAAGGCAATAAGTGCCCTTTTAGCCATCCATTATGATCCATATACTGTTATTGTTAGTAGGCTAATTGCAACATAAAAAAATAACACTTCAAAAAGACAAAAAAGCTGAAAAATCAAATAAATAAATAAAATCATGAAAAAAAATGAAAAAAAAATCATTGATTTTTTATTTTTTTTTATTTAAAAAAAAATAAAAAAAAATCACCAACCCTGAGTGAAAGTATGCGTATGGTAACCGTGCAGGTGTATGGGGGAAGTCTCCACTGACCAGCAGCCCTCGTGTTCCTCCCCTTGCCTCCCCACCCCCACCAACCCGATGAACTGCCCTGCTCCCTCTTTGCCCCACTCCTCCCAGCATTCCTTCGTTGCTCCCTCCACCTCCACGGGTCCCTCCGCCCCTGGCGGCTGGGCTGCCGTCCGCAGGGAGGCCTCCTTAGCCTCTGCCCCCTCCAGCTGGATGACCCAGGATCTCAAGTCTTCCCTCCTCCACACCTCCCCCGGGGATGTCCTAGGGAGCAGTGACTGTGAGAGTGAGTTTAATCGACGTTTGTGTTTAGTATCTTGCTTTTCTTGAAGTATATTCATAGCCTTCATCTCTTTGCTTGTCTTATTCGATGTAGTAGCAAAAATAGAGAATGTGTCTTCTGTGCCATGATGATTGATGATTTGTTATACGACCTGATGCTGGAATGCCCCATTCCTAATTTTGACCGTTTCTTATTGCCTGTTCCGTGTTATATTAAAAACTAAAAATAATACCTATTTGCTGCATATTTATTCATGACTATTACAATTTAGCAGACCCTAAGATTGAGTTAGTGCTACTGTGAGCAGCGTTCCATTTGAAGCGTGTCCTGCAGAACGTGTTCTATGGAACGCATAATATATGAAAGAGTGTCTTGCATGAAGAGTCTCTAGTACAGGGGTGTAATGGTGTGTGTAATGCAGGTCGTGACGTGATGAGGCGCATGAAACAAGTCCAGGTGGCAGACGGTCAGGTTCAGGAGGTTCAGGTGGTGCAGGAAGGAACCTTTGGCCGCCTCCTGACGGCAACTTACACCAGCACCCGCCACCCGAGTCCTGAGAGAGTCTTAGTCAAGACCCTGGCGGGTGAGGGTGGGTTATAATATTAGGAGGTTATAATTCAAGGAGGGTTGGGCGGTATTAATGTCAAGTCGATCGTGTTAGGTTAACTTTAAAGGGGAGGTTTTAAGTTAAATCAACTGAATAAAATTGAAATGGACTGGGCTCACACAAGGATTCTTACATGAAATTGGTTGATGCATGCTAGAAATGGCAGCCTGTCTACCCGGACGTTCCTTAATGTGAGGGCTACTTACCTGGTCACCTCACTTATTGTGAGGCATTAATCATTCATTCGGTTTTTTTGAAAAAGGTTTATTCCAACGTTCATTTCCAATCGTCTTGTTCGGCTGTTGTCCACGCCATCTTTCCACTGACTCCATGTGTTATCTTTTTTGTATTTCGCCTATGTTCCATTCTTCTTTCCTTATGTTTGACTGGTCTGGTAACATCTTCACATATCTATCTCATTTTAACATTTCTTCGTATTATTTCTTCGTAAGTTCTCTAAATCATGGTTGCAGGTGGTAGCAGCAACAGACAGCGACAGGTGGTGCTGCAGGAGGCGTTGCAGATGGTTGGGTTGGAACACCCTCACCTGCTGCAGGTGATGGCGCTCGTGTGGCACCAGCCCTCAGACCCTCCCATGCTGCTATATCGCGCCCCTCTGCACGGCAACATGAAAAGGTGCCCTTCTGAGACATGAGGGAAGCAGTAGCGCCGTAATGAGGGTCTAAAAAAAAGTGCCTTATTTGAAGGCATGAGGGCAGTTGCTCTTTCTGGCGTGTGAGAAAAGAGAGGCCGTTGCTTTTAGGAGGGGAATGTGCCTTATGTGTGGGTGAGGGAAGATGGGCTATGCTTGAGGAATGTAGGGAACTGATGCGCTGTTCAAGGGAAACGTGTGGTGCACTGCAGAACTACACTGTTTCAACTATTGCTTTTGTTTATCAAATAATGTAAATTTAATCCGTAGTTGGAATTTAGCCTCAAAGGTCGCATGAAGTTATGTGTATTTTTTCCCAAAAACCGGGGAATTACGGTACCACCATACGACACTCGCTGAATTTCATGATTTCATATGCTGTTCTAGCAGGGTGATGTATAATTAACCTACAGTAACTTCTTGCCTCGAGTATCCCGAAATATTTACCCCCACATCATTTTTTTCAGATTCCTGCAGAGCTGCAGTCCCCTGGTGACGCGGCAGGTGGTTCAGATGGCGCTGCAGCTGCTTCAGGCGCTGTCCTTCCTGCACGCGGCACGCATCCTGCATGCAGATGTCGCTGCCAGGAACTGTTGGTGGGTCCTGACTTGGGCTGCAAGAGATTAGGGACCAGGGGACTCAGGTTAAGTATCATGTGCGATGGAACAGTTCGGTATGCTAGTTGGAGACGCCAAAAAACTTCGCCAAATAATGTTGGAGACGGTATGCTAAAAACTTCACCAAATAAGGTTGAAGACGGCATGCTAAAAAGGGGCATTATTTCTACAGCTTAATGCTTCAAAAGTAATGTTGTGGTTAAAATTTAATGTTGCAAAAAGTACTTTCTGGCTATAGCTTCATGCTGCAGGAAAAACTTCACTGCTGGAGCCACCATGGCGCAGACGAAATGTTAATGTATGTTGTGCTGTTGTGGCAGGTTTTCCTTAAATTGAGGTTTGGATGGGGATATTTTAATAACATTACTGCGAGTATAATGATGGCAAAAATTATCACTTGATATCAGAATTCTGAACCCTAGCTAGCAATCTCGTTCATCGCTGGGCTCGTCTGATAGTTGTGTAAATTTTGTAGGGTTTATGTGTGCGTCGATAAGAGCAGCATGCATTCATTGGCTATCCACTGTAGGCAATGTCTGACAGGCTGTGCATTGCAGGCAATATTAAGGCGGGTTGTGCACAGCAGGCAATGTTAAGGCAGGCTGTGCATTGCAGGCAATATTAAGGCAGGCTGTGTACCTTAGGCTGGACACGGGACTTCGAGTGCAGCTGTGCGACTGTGCGCTGTCCCGGGACCTGTTCCCCGGTGACTACGACTGCCTGGGCGACAACAACAACAGACCAGTGAAGTGGCTTGCCATCGAGGCTCTCCAGCGACACGCCTTCTCGCCACAGTCCGACGTGGTAAGTGGCCGGATGGTTGCAGTGGGTGGCTGGGTGTTTCAAAAAATGTTTGTGTCGATGAGTGGCCTGACTTCAAACCGCAAAAAGTTTTATGTGTTGAATCAATGGTTCCCAAAATGGGCGTTCCAGCCCCCCCTGGTGGGCGGTGGAAAGGTATGGGGGCGGTGAGGAAGCAGGGGGCTGTAGGGGGGCGGTAGTCCGAAGTCGAAGTCAGAAGTTCGAACGTTTGTTTGACAATTTGTACACAACACGTGCAGCACGCGGTCTCCAGCGATGGGGTTTTCCACCCAGATCTGGGTTTTTTAAACCTCTTCTGAGTTTCTGGTGTAAATTTTTGAAAATATTTGAAATCAGGGTTATTGTGAGTGTGGGGAGGCGCTATGTGAATATTATGTGTCTGTGGGGGGATAGGGGGGGGGGTGTTACTAGGAATTCACTGGGGAGCCAAGGGGGCGTCAGCCTGCAAAAGTTTGGGAACGGTTATGCTAAATTAAAGGTGGAACAGAACACCGCTACTTGACGTCGGACGATTTAAATGGCAATTCTTCTGTAACCCCTGATTGTCCATATGAGGAGGCTCAATTCTGACAGCCCATCTGTTCCACTAAATCAGTAAGAAGCAAACAACGGCATCGTACATCAGCTTTCCCAGCTAAGAGCATATAACCCGGTGCCTTAGTGGCAGAGATGACCCACCAGCCGACGGATGATGGATGGCTGCCGGAGCTGACTAAAATTTCAGATTAGGATGCGTTATGATTATGTGGAATGTTGTATCTCCTGATTACTTGGCCCTGTGGGAGGTAATATTTTGTGCCTACCTTGCAGTGGGCGCGGGAGAGGTAGAATGTTTTCTGCCTACGTGGCAGTGGGCGTGTGGTGGTGATATTTTATCCCTACGTGGCAGTGGGCGTGTGGTACTAATATGTTATCCCTACGTTGCAGTGGGCTTGGGGCGTGACAGTGTGGGAGGTCATGACCCTGGGACAGCAGCCCTATGCGGAGGTGGACGCCGGAGAGATGGAGGAGGCGCTGCTGGGTGGCGTGCGGCTCGCCCAGCCCATCAACTGCCCTGACCAGCTGTAAATCAGTTCCAAATCGATTTAAGTTTTATTGAAATTAGTAGGGGATAGTTAGTGTTGTATTGACATTGGCCGTTACTCTGCACGGTACGTGTAAGGGAGTAGTTCATACAGCTGCTTCACTCCCGATATCGTTTGGACAATCCTAACCTAACCTCCGACCTGTTAGATTACACAAGCGGTCAGCCTACTTAACCCTGCCTCCTTATCGCTATCACAAATGTACCATGGACTGTAGTCGTGCCTGTAACGACTGACGACAGGTAAATTGACTGCGACGACTGACAACAGGTGACGTGGCTGTGACGACTGACAACAGGTGACGTGGCTGTAACGACTGACAACAGGTGACGTGGCTGTACCTGTACGTCTGACCTACAGGATAGCCTGCAGCAATTGGACCTGTACGTCTGGCCTGCAGGATAACCTGCAGCATCTCGACCTGTACGTCTGACGTACAGGATAGCCTGCAGCAATTGGACCTGTACGTCTGGCTCGCAGGATAACCTGCAGCACGTCGACCTGATATGTCTCACCTGGTCGACGACAGGTTCCAACAATGCCAAATCCCTGCCACCCCGCGTGTGGATTTGCTACTCTGTTGCATTGGCCCCTGCAGTCGTCACGTTCACCCGCGTGTTGATGCCACGATGCTGTTCCGCTTGAAGAGATGGCTTTTATAAGGATACCAACTTTGACGTTTGAATTTGAAAATTTTTGCCTGTAGTCATGTACATGTTTTATGACTGATGTTTCGCATCGTGCCTGTGACAGGCCTTGCATATAAGTTCTGAATCGTATGACGGAGAAAGAATCATAATGTATGTATTTGTATAAATTTGTACATAGAAAGAAGTGATTGCTGGAGCTCAAACCCTCATAGTACAATGTTCTGACCATAGATGTAGTTTACGTTGTCGCTGCTTCCCTGGGTTTGTGTCTTCCTTTTTTCTTCATAGATTGCTGGACGTTAGCAGATGCTGGACGTCATAGATTCAGGAGCAGGGCAGACGTGCCAATTACAATTTGTAACGTTGATTATGTTCTACATTCCGTGTCTACGTGACGACGTCATGTATTCCTGCTATGTCTGTTCTGAGACTACTTTACAAAGCAGCTGTATTTATTAAGCTTTTTGTTACGCTGCAGCAGCTCGTATATAGGTACTTATCAATAAGATAATTTGTACAGCTAATTGTACATCATCGTTAGACGAGTGTGCAAATTTATGATTCTTAATTACATTTTACTTACGAACTTATTGTTTGTTTCTATTGAACTAGGTCCTGGTAAAACTTTGAATGAGTAGACAACATGAGGCAATATTGTATATTTGTATAAATGTTCACAGGTACTTTTTTGTGGTTGACCAGGATTTGTTCAATTGTGTCAAATCATGAGCAAGAGCCAGCGTCGTTATTCTAATCATTAATTAAAAAACCATTAACTAAAAGCTTAGGTTAATCTCAGAAGGAGAGCAGTCTCATTTAGCGCAAATGCTAGCTAGTTATCTAACGGATCGCTTCACGGTTTCACGTGCCCTCGGTCTCTGCCTCGTCTACTGCATGAGACGGTCTCTACATGGACGGTATCTCTGCCTCGTCTACACCGTGCGACGTTTCTGGGAAGAGGGCGTTGCAGATCTTACGAAATGGCAGAAGCCCAGCCACTGGCAGCATGAGCACCGGAGCTGCTAATGTACCTTCTCTCTTCATTTTTAAGGTCCTGGGAAGCTCGGTACTCCACGACCCTCTTTTCTTCTCTTTGCTCGACTTTTCTATCCTAAAAAACGCTAAGGCTTCTTTTACCTTAGACTTCTCTCACATACCCACTTTTTTCTTCGCATCTTGTTTTCCGACCACCCTACAACGTGCGCAATTTAATACAAAGTACGATTGATTGCATGCTTTTCAAATATAATATCGTGTTCGGTATCAGAAAGAAAACGGGTTCGCACAGTAGTCAGCATTGGTTTCTTCGAACACTTTCACATTGCCTGTATTATTCTGCCGTATTGTATTATACAATTTGAATTTCTCTTAAATTTTGTTTCTGAAACGTTTGCTATAAATTATATATGTCCCAAAGTACCAAAACTATTTACCTTAAAGAAACTCCTCAGAGGGTCAAAACTCTCTGTCGGAGGTATTACAGCTTCTTCAATCAGCGTTGATTAATAAGAATATACTCCACCAGAGAATATTGAGCGCCAAGCCTAAAGGTTATTTATTTTTCTGCAAATTGTATCATTATTAAAACAGAATATTAAATAATATTGAGCGCCGAGCCTAACGCTCATTTATTTCATGCAAATTGTATCATTATTAATATAACATAACATAGTGATATCGGCACTGAAGAGTAGGCCTGATGCGGCCTGTCGCCGATTCTTGTACTTTTCGTGACTCTTTCACAGAAGATCAGAAATCGTGTCATTCGACCGGATCTTCTCAAGACTGACGATAGTTTAAAATAGCTACTAGACTTCCATCGGGCTCGATATGGTGCTAGTCATTTCAAGTCTGAACATATATTTTTCCATAACATAGTGATCTCGGGGCTGAAATGTAGGCCTGATGTGGCCTGTCGCCGATTCTTCTTCTTTTCCTTTTCGTGCCTTGTTCACAGATCTAAAATCGTGTCATTTTACCGGATCTTTTCATGACTGTCGATAGTTTGAAGTAGCAACCAGACTTCCTCCGGGTTCGATATGGTCAGTGGTGGGCACAGTTCCGCTAATCCGCTAACCGCTAATTAGCGAAGCTAACTTTTTCCTTATCGGATTAGCTGTTCAGCTAACTTTGAAAACCTTTAGCGGACCAATTAGCTTCCGCTAAATTTAGTTCCGCTAATTGGCAGTCCGCTAAAAATATGTTTTAAAATCTCTGATTTAATGCTAAGTATCGTAAGCCGTGTGCCACGCCCACACTGATGGCTGACTACGTCATCAAATGTTCGTCAGCCAATCACGTCTTGTGTTACTGGCATACACAAGACGTCCTGTACTGCAGTCCTCTGGTGGACGCAATGCTGGCATAGCCCATGGAGAGCAGGAGGAGCCACTGGTCACTGAAGTCCAAGGCACAGAATTTGGTGAAGACCAGGCTGGAAAGCAGCTCGAAGGAGGAATTGACTGACGTTGCCTTCTTGGGCGAGCAGGTGTTGATGAACCTTTTCGTTAAGTACAACACAGCCATCCCATCCAGTGCTGCAGTTGAGCTCCTGTTTTACACTTTCACTTTGATGTACGAGGTTACTTCGAACATTATTTACAGGACTTGATCTACGGACATCATTCCTACTAATTACTTGTCCTCCATCTCCTCTGACTTGCCATCTCCTCGAATATTTCGTCCTTAATACAGTCCGAAATATTCGCCGCATTCAACGCTTCACGGAGTTTATCATAGTCGCCTCGCAGAGTTCAAACGTTCACGTTTTCGAAGCGTCTTATCTGCATAGCACTTAATACTGAAAACAATGACTGGTTAAAAACAATTAAAACAGAATATTAAAGAATATTGAGCGCCAAGCTCAAAGCTTATTTATTTTCATGCAAATTGCATCATAATTAAAACAGAATATTCTAGATTCATCGAAATCTCGTTCAGATCTCGTCCCAAAGAAAATCTCGTCTAATGTTCGAAACATTCCGGAGACGGCGGCGATCAGCTGTGAGGAAGACGGACGCAGGGCTCGTGGCTCGAGTCGCAGCATCTATGCAATTTGACGAGGATAATTGTGATTTGTGACCACCAAGATAGTAGCTAAAATCGTATCACACACATATTTATCATAAGCTGTATTATGAATAGCCAGAATAGGTAAGTCACGTGTGTGAGGAGCAGAAGTTGAGCCGCAGAGCTCGAGCTCCTAATTACAAAGATGCGCGCAGCGTAGGGGTAGGCGCGTGACGCGTCGATGTCAGACTCAGACGTTGACGCCGGCAGTGCTCATTTGCCTGCTTCTGTGCCTTTGAAACCTTCATAGCCAGCAATTCCAGTGACAGTAGCATAAACTGTATTCCTGAAACTCCTAACCGTCTTAGCGTAGTTAGTAGCATGTAACTATGTATTTAAAACATTTCCACAACATCGCGCGATCGTAAACCTTAGTAGCCAGTAGGTGTCCGTGTCACTAGGTGTTGCCGTGTTGGCTTCACGTATGATGTGTTATGGCAGATGTTTGAAACATTTCCAAAACTTCCATTATTTTGTTGCTGTTTAATTGTTGGTCTTAGCAGCATATGTTTAAAATATTTTCACGACATTCAGTACATTGCAGGTGCAGAGGTCTTCTTTTTATATCAGACTCTAATTACTAATTAGTCTATTCAAAACCATCACCTGCTAGCCACCTGCTGGCGCTGCTACCAATACAATAGCCAGTGCTTAACTTAAGTCATAAGTTCCATGATCTGACATGATAATGAGCCCATGTGACATGATGTGAGCCCTTGTTGACTGTTGTGGTAACTGGTAACCAGAGCACCTTAATGCCATTATGCCATACACTATTACTCATTGCAAGTTGCAGCTATTGATGGCGTGGATTGTAATCTCCAAAACAAATAATAAAGCATGACTGGATCTGGATGTATCAACTATTGATACATTACATACTATAGGTATAGGTTACAGAATGCAGATAATCAACATAAACAACCAACCTCTGGGCTCTGGCTGTAGGCCTGTAGCCCCCGCCCCCCAAAACCACTTGTTTTTGGCTGTAGCCCCCAAAACCACTTGTTTTACTTATATTCTGTAGTGCTTAAGCCAGTGCTTAACTTAAGTCATAAGTTCCATGATCTGACATGATAATGAGCCCATGTGACATGATGTTGTTACCGGAGGTTAAATTAGGCTACGGTGTAGCCCAACCTTCATGTCTTTCTTTATCTGTAATCATATTTCTTCAGTTCTCAATCCAACTCAATTTAAATTAAATTCAATATTTTTATCTTTTTCAGTGTAGATGACCAAAGTATAATTTGCAAACTTGAATTATCACTCTTAAGTATTTGGATTCCTACCTGTCTCTTATACACATCTAGATGTGTATAAGAGACAGTTACNAGTTGTGTGTTTATTTACTGTCCCATATTTTAATTCATTTTGCATTAGAACCAGTCTTTCATTTTCCTTCATTCAGAGTAGGGTTGTTGCCAGTTAGTTAGAAGTAGATAACAGGTTTATCTCACCTGCGGCATGAGACATTTTAGACCCGGCAACGATGTGAGCCCTTGTTGACTGTTGTGGTAACTGGTAACCAGAGCACCTTAATGCCATTATGCCATACACTATTACTCATTGCAAGTTGCAGCTATTGATGGCGTGGATTGTAATCTCCAAAACAAATAATAAAGCATGACTGGATCTGGATGTATCAACTATTGATACATACTATAGGTATAGGTTACAGAATGCAGATAATCAACATAAACAACCAACCTCTGGGCTCTGGCTGTAGGCCTGTAGCCCCCAAAACCACTTGTTTTTGGCTGTAGCCCCCAAAACCACTTGTTTTACTTATATTCTGTAACAACTTGGTTGGTTCTAAACTTCTACTTGTGATTGTGAACCACTATGCAGAGGGTGGATGCAGCGTCGGCAATATATGGATTTTTAAGCCCAAAGCGTCGCCGGCCATTTTAAAGATGTGTTGCCGGGTAATTTTTAATGAAAAGCCATTTACGCTGAGTAATGACGAACTATTTACAAGCCACGAACTTATTACAAGGTTGCATGCACATGTTACACCAAATAACTAATTTTACCCTAAAAACAGTCCGGTTGTACAGCAAGTGTCAACTGAACAAGTAATAAAGCAGTCTGACTGCTCTAATGCGACCGAAACTACGCAATCGAAAAAATGTTGTTTACATTTTTTTGCGGGAACTCATCGCAACTGATTTCCGGACAAGCTTCGCTGCATTGTAATCCATCCAACGTACCGGAAACCTTACTTTTTTTCTAAATAGTTGGCTGAAGACTGAGAAATATATTAAAATGCAAGAATTTCAATCTAAATGTTTCGGCAAGATCTTCTGAAGGCGAAAATTTTGCCGATAATGCGTCGCCGTAGGTCTTTAAATCTTCGTTCACTCTCTGCACAGTGGATTGTGAACAAATATCTATCATGGGCCATTCATGGATATTGGATAGGAACAGACAATCAACTAATTGGTTCAATTAGGGTGTTATATTGAGTGCAGGCCTGTTGGTGTAGACTAAGCCTAAGGTGTTGACTGTTAGGCCCTGTCCCTTGGGTGCATAGTGGCAAAGCAGAATTAGCAGATAGTTCTGGAGACTCTTCCTTAAGTTTAATTTTGAGTCCTATAAGTAGCCCAGTGAAGTATCATAGATACAAGCCACCATGGTGCCAATCCATAGGTTATTCAAAAGAACCTGTTCTTATGTCATTTTGAACCAATCAACACTTCTTTATGGACCGATCGTAAAACACACCTTCACCGGCAAAAGCTTTCACACTTCTGAAGAAGGTGAGCTGACAGCTACACTGGCCGTGGGGTGTGGGTGGACCTAATTTGAATTTGAATGCATGTAGCGATTCAAAATCCTATAGACTGTGATAGACATAGTATACAAGTCATAGAGCCTAAATTTTTAATATCTATAAAAAAATGTACGTTTCTGCATGTATTATAATGCTGTTAACATTAGCAAACTTTTAATTATCTCTGATGCAAGAAATACTTGCTTAAATCATTTTATTTTCAATATAAGCGACTGGATGCAACAATCGGTTCGCAAGAACTGACATAGCCCTGACAGCAGCAATTTCGAATTTTCGATTGACGTTAATTTCTAAATTAAAATGTATTTAGCCAGTATTTCTTGCATTTTGATTGTGATATTGACACTTGACAGATATTCAACATTTGAATATCGAAGTTCTAACATCATGAATTACGAGGTAAGAGTGTAAGGACTTAGCAAAGCTAGAATCATGGTTGAGCCTCTGAGGCAGTGAGGCTTAACCGATGTCATTGTAATTTTTTACGTCATTGATATCATTGTGAAACCAATGTAAGTAACTAAGGAATTTCCCAGTTCAAATATTTATTGATTTATTACTATCAATTTCGAAACTCCACATATTTCTAAAGGGAGTTGTGATGAGACCATGGGGATGGGGCCAGGGGTCGAACTGTTGAGTTTAGACCATTACAACTTGCAAGAGGGGCCCAAGGGCCAAGGGCATCGGGCCTTGCGAAGGGTTGAGACCGACGCACGGCGGTGGACCAATAAGTACTCACAATAATTCCCTGCCACCATGCAAGCCACTGTGCAGAGAGTGGATGGATATTGCAAGATCTTTGGCAACGCTTCAGTAGCAAAATTTACGCCTTCAGAAGATCTTGCCGACACATTTAGATTGTAATTCTTGCATTTAATATATTTGTCAGTCTTTGGCACACTATTTAGAAAAACTGTAAGGTTTCCGGTATGTTGGATGGATCAGGATGCAGTAAAACTTGTCCGGAAATTGGTTGCGATGAGTTCCCGCCAAAAAATGTAAACAAAATGTAGTTGCGGTCACATTAGAGTGGTCAGACTGCATCATCACATGTTCAGTTGACACTTGTTGTACAATAGGAGTGTTTTTATGGTAAAATTAGTTATTTGGGGTAACACATGCATGCAACCTTGTAAATAAGTTCGTGGCTTGTAAATAGTTTTTCATTACTCAGCGTAAATGGCTTTTCAATAAAAATTACCCGGCGACGCATCTTGAAAATGGTCGCCGACGCTTTGGGCTTAAAAACCAATGTATTGGCAATGCTGCTTCCATCTTCTGCACACTGGGATACAAGCATTATCATACATAAAAAAATTAGTTTAAATTTTGAGTAAGAAAAGAAATTAGAAATGAACTGATTCTAAAAAATCTCAGGTTTGTCACTATGTTTGGGTGAGTGCCCTGATTGACGTTTGGTGCATGATCATTAAAAATAAAATGTGAAATTCTGCTGGCCATCTTTCGATGACAGATAACTGACATAAGTCACCACTCGGCACTTGGCAGATAGTGCCCAGATACTGCACTTACCATGCCAGCTCATTACAACCATGTAATGATGTATAGGTATATTATATGTATACAGCCAAAACAGGGGTTGGACAGAATAAGGGAAACACCTGATATTTTAATATCAACATTTTTGAACTTTTTATAGACAATGAAAATGTGACATATTTTTATGTTTTTTTATTCATTATTGCTAATTGATATTTTATCCTTGCACCAATATTTTTTTACTTTTTAGCTCTATAAGTATAGCCTAACCTATAACCTAATACCTATAAATGGCAAACCTCTCTGTCTTTCAGAGAGGCTAAATTTGAAATTGTTAATGGCCATATGACAGGTGCTAGTGTTACCAAAACTTTCTGAGTGCTTAATGTTTCTAGAGGTACTGTCTCAAAGTAATGACTGATTTTGAAAGAGAAGGAAAAAAGACAACAGCAGAGCCAAGCACAGGTCTGGGCAATAGTTGAAGTTGTCTGAGAGAGGCCATTGGTATTGTTATGTAGGTGAACACATTATTTGGCTGTGTGAATTTATTATGGGGTTATCATAAATCAATTGTTTACAATGGCTGTTCATGGACCCTACATTTGAAGAACAACATACCCCAAAGGGCCCAAACCAATGCCAACATACCCATCAATATGCTTCAGTTGTTTTTGTTTCTTTAACTCAATAATTTGAATATTAATGAGGTATGATAGTTGTAACTATTGTAATCACCATTTTGCTATTGTCTGAACAGTTTTAAATGATACAGGAATGACAGGTGGAAGTGTTGCAGGAGGTGAGAAAGATACCATCGGTAAATGGCTAGTTAACTTTTCTCTAGAAAGTGGTTTTTCTTGAGACTGTGAGGACTTTGATGACACAGCAGAAGCATCTTCTACTGTGCTTAATGGATCAACAAAACACTACATCCGTCCTCCCAGACAGTGACTCGCTCTCAGCAGTAGAAATTGCTGCTTTTGATGACTTTCTGGCCAAGTTGTCTAGTGGTACATTTTTTGATGAGGACATCATTGGAATGCCCAGCACATCTGCTGGATCTGAGAACTTGTCAACTCAGCTAGACTGTGGCTCGCAGAATGTAGTCAATGCATCTCAGGTGAACTATTGTTTCTTAGATGTACTGGATATAGTTAACCCTTTGGTGGGTAAAGATAGAAATATATATTTATATAAATTCAAATTTCTAAGGCTAGTTCAAGAAATAATGGGTAATTCTAAGATATATTTATTCAGCATTTTACCCTATTCTAATCACTGAAGGCATAAATCACACATAAAGAATTTATAAAATCCTCTTATGATGTTCAAGCCATATATATTGTCTGAAATTGAACATACAAATATGAGAGAATATTATCCACCTTCAATCAGATTCAGTAGCATTAATACACTCATATAAATTGAGAATATACTGCAGTGACATTTTTTTCCATTTTTGTGCCAGAGTAATGATTTTTTGTGATCATATTTCCATCATTAAGCACCTGTTCGGGCAATGTCATGCATAGAATTATGACCAGGTGATAGCAACAGGGGCATGGGGATACAGCATCAAACAGAAGATGGGAGGTGATGTACTGTTTTGGGTGGGGCTTTTAAAGGTACCAGATATGAACTAGCCTGCCTGTGAGATAATCTTCATTCTGTTCTTAGAATGGCTGTGGTGGGCGATTTAGATTTTTGTTATTTATTGTAAGTTGCCGAATGTTGTAAATTGTCTGCTTATGAATTACTCTGCATTTCATTGATATTGATTTATAATCTAAGAAAAATTTGTTGCATTAGTTGTTAAATATAGCAGAAAATTTTGTGCTCCAATACCTTAGGGTTGAATCATATAAATAATTTCAATCTTGAAAACTTATGCAAATATTGTCCTGAACACTTACAATTATACCTGAATCTTGCCGATGGTCTAATTTATTCTTATCTATGTATACATTTTGTTATGATGGTAAGTATTTATGCCTGTTATGTAACACATTTTCTCATATGTTTTTTTCAGGCCTTTTTCAACTGAAAGTTACTGATAATTCATTTCACTTGATTAGTTTCCATCTTCCAGGATGTGCACAACTCAAAAGGCAATATAGGAGCAGGAGCTGTTGGTCCTTGGATCCCAGTTGCGGATGGCTTTGGTATGCCATATTTGCTTAAGTTTAGTTTTTTATCTTCTTGTATGGCATGTTTTTCACTGGATCTGATGAGTCATTATCTGCAAGGTGTAATACCAATAATTTTATTCAACTTTGTGCGTGTTGAGATTACCATATCAATGTGAATTTTAAAGTTGGCCTAAGCAGTTCCTTGATAACAAATTTTTTACCAGTACTTCTTTTTATTTATTACTTCTTTCTAACAATTCTGATTAATTTTGGAATTGAAATAACACCTGATTGAATTTTGCCCCTCAGTGAGTTCAAACCATTAGTGATGATGTCAGCAGTGAGAGAACTGCTCTTATGTGATTTTTTAAATATACACTACTAATTTCACAATAAGCATTTTTTTGCCAAATCAACTGATAGAGCTCAACTAGTTTGTAAAATTGGTTAGTTTTGCATTGAATTAATTGTAATTTTCTCAGGTTGGGTTGGTCTAAAATGTTGAGTGTTAGATGTTGGAGTAGCATGTTCAAGCAAGTAAGCAAGCTCAGTGTATCCCTAAACACTCTAGTACCAGTAAAACTTGAGATCACTCATCATTTGCTTATTTTATAAGTGAGTCAGCACACTAAGTTCACTCAAAATCTGTAAGTTATGGGCTTAGCTTTCCTGATCCATGTTGCATGGAATGGTATTGTTGGATTGTGCTGCTGCATCAGAAGCTTCAACTTTTTTTTAGTTCATGTATCATATATATATATATATATATATATATATATAATGCCTGAAATAGGTCTTGATGCTATACAATCAAATCTTAGTGATCAAATTATAGTATGCAGTCATCAAATTATAGTACGCAGTCATCAAATTTGTGTTTTTTATCCAAGCTTGTTTTGCTCCCAATAAACTGCCTTCCTCAGTGCTGGTGGTGAGCTTCTTTTTTGCGCATTTTCTCATTTATGGAAAAATGGCGCTATTGTGCTAGTCATGTCCATCCGTCCGTGACTATACGGATGGATGGACAAAAAAATGCTCACTCTGTCACTCACTCCAGTGAGCACAGATCGATTTTTTAAGCTATTTTGTCAAATCACTTCCTTTTCTCCTTGAACCTTCAACTATGATATCCATCTAGCAACTAGCTCCCATGCACCCTCTTGCACTTAACTCTTGTATAATTCAGGGATTAAACTAGTTCACTGATCCTCCTCAGAGTCTCAAGTTAACCATCTCCTCCTAACCAACTCAACTGCATTCCTAATGAGCTTTATCTGAACTAACTATGGTATACCTACGTACCTAAAGAATGAATTCAGTTCCCTGGCACGCACTCTTACTATTGTTATGGCTGTTTGTTCCATGTCTTTGTAATAAGTCTTTATTAAATCAATGCCACCAATGAGGAAATCGTGCTATAGCAAGATTTCTCTTAATAATTACATTGACTGTAAAAGGTTGAAAGGTTCACACCCTTTTGTAATTTCTATCACTGGCTTATGAACATTCTTAGGTTGTTTGGGGAACCCATGCAATAGCCAGGAAGTCATGAGCTCTCAGCAACCATTGCAGCCTCAACAGCAGCTGCAGCAGCATCAACAACAGCAGCTGCAGCAGCCTCGACAACAGCAGCTGCAGCAGATTCCTCAACAACAGCAGCTGCAGCAGATTCCTCAACAACAACAGCAGCTGCAGCAGATTCCTCAACAACAGCAGCTGCAGCAGATTCCTCAACAACAGCAGCTGCAGCAGATTCCTCAACAACAGCAGCTGCAGCAGATTCCTCAACAACGGCAGCTGCAGCAGATTCCTCAACAACAACAGCTGCAGCAGCAGATTCCTCAACAACAACAGCAGCTGCTGCAGATTCCTCAACAACAGCAGCTGCTGCAGATTCCTCAACAACAGCAGCTGCAGCAGATTCCTCAACAACAGCAGCTGCTGCAGATTCCTCAACAACAACAGCAGCTGCAACAGATTCCTCAACAACAACAGCAGCTGCTGCAGATTCCTCAACAACAACAGCAGCTGCTGCAGATTCCTCAACAACAGCAGCAGCTGCAGCATCAACAACAGCAGCTGCTGCAGATTCCTCAACAACAACAGCAGCTGCTGCAGATTCCTCAACAACAACAGCAGCTGCTGCAGATTCCTCAACAACAGCAGCTGCAGCCTCAGCATCAACTACTGCAACTGCAGCTTCCTCAACAACAACAACAACAGCCCCTGCAGCATCAACAACAGCAGATGCAACCTCAACATCAACTACTGCAACCGCAGCAAATGCTTCTACAGCAAAAATCACAGCAGTTGCAGCAACAAGAACAACAGGAGCTGAATTTTCATCCTCAAGACAGTGGTTCGTTCTTAACACTTCCGCTATCATTTGTCACAATATCTAACCAACTGAAGTTCTACAACCATCCTTTCAAACATCCTCAGATAACTCAAGCTCCATTTGTTTTCTCAAAAAAGTCATGTTTTGCTAGCCTGTTTGCTGGTGAGTCGATCCCTACTCATATAGTACCTACATTTTGAGCTTGCTTTTTTTATTTAATTCCTTTCGTTGTTGTTTTGTGTTAGGAATGTCATTTTAGCTTGGGTATGTTTTTTCACCTAATAATTTCTTAGCGGTTTGTCAGACTAAGCTTTGTATAGCTCTTACTGCCCTTCAAACTCTACATGGCAAATCTACTTGTAAATTTATCTAGAATAGTAACAAAGTTTTAAACCGATTTAAAATTCCTGGCATCTGTATCAAGTCTCAATCTTGGTAATCCGACTAGTTTTCTAGGCAAATCATAACTTTTCTTGCATCCAATTAAACTAATTGGCATATTGGATCTCATTAATGCCTGGTAAATAACCTGCTTCTCCTCTCCTTTCCCAACAATCTGTATAAAAATCATTCCCCATACTAAATGTATTGATGCTACAGAAGATTTTAAATTTCTGAACTATTGAATTAAATACTATATTCCTTTGCAGGGGAGGCCTTGGTGAAGTATCAGCCTCAGAGTAGAGTTCAGCACAAACCTGTTGCTGACCGTCAGATCACAACGGAGCAGGACGCTTCAACACTTACTTTACTCTCTCACTTGACTGCTGGCCCAAGCAGTGCCATCAACCCTGGCTGTGACCCGTACACCGAACAACCTTATTCTCCTGATACTCAATTATCAGCAGCATTGGTTGCACAGGAGTGTGAAGCATTGGTTGTACAGGAGTGTATCGAGACAGATCCCTCCTCTAATGATGTAGCAGTTAAATCAAGCTTTGATCGTAATCTGGGACATCCAAACACAAATGTTAGCAAGCCTGTAAAAGAGGAAATTTTGCCTCCTTGTGACTCCTTAGATGTGATGCATCTCAACCATTGGCCTGGAGACTTGCATTTCTCCATTCGTCTGCCAGCTCAACTTCATACAAACCCCAAGGTGGGACTTGCATTTTATTAAATGAAAGTGGATGTTTTTTCACTGTAAATGTCTTCATGGAAAGCTCACATTTATAACATATGAGAAACTCTTTTGGATTATCTTGGCTGGCTGAAACAAAACCCACAACTAAGGCTGTATCCATCCAAATGTATTTTTTCCTTGATGAACATTTCTTAAGGTGAAAATGTTTTCTTATATGAATTATGTGAATTTTATGCACTTGTGTACTATGTAAATGACGTCAATAAAATACTGTTTAAGTTACAACAATACAAAATACTGAATTGATTATAAATTGATGTATTCTGAACCCATTAAGACGAATGGTAAATTTAAGTTATATAAATTTAATCAATTTCAATTTATTTTAAAATTCAAGTATGCATGCAATACTATAGACCATAAACTAACCTTAATTTTCATTCTGAGCGTTCTGAGCGCTGCTATCTGGCCAATATTGGCCGCCTGTAGATCTGGCCAATATTGGCCGCCTGTAGATCTGGCCAATATAAGCTGCTTGAACTTTTCGATCTACTTGCCTCGTTTATAGCTCCTGCTTTTGTGGCTTGTAACGAGACACGGTTGAGAGAAACAAACATGTTTGTTGTTCTTAACCGCTAGGTGGCTAGTAGGGCTGATTCAGCCACGGTGTGAGCATCTGTGCCGCTCTTCTTGTGGCTAATTCAAGTGGGTTGAGTGTTGTGAATCAAATGATAATGGTTATAAAAGATAGTCATTAAGACTAGGGTTCTAAGAAGAACGTTAAGTGCTTCCCAGATAAAATACAATTTTTATTGTAAATATTGCAAAGTATGAAGTAATGTGGAATGTTCGCCATGCTAATTACTTCGATAAATTGAGGAAAGAAACTGATATCTTTAAATTGAAAGAAGACCGCGTAAGTCAGGATTTAGTTGATACCCGGTGTAGCATTTTTAATGCCTAAAATTAAGAGTATGGAAGCAACGTATTGCTACGAGTTAGTGAAGGAAATCTCGTCAAGAACAAGTGGAGCTGGGGCAGATAGCCGAGCACAGACTTACCTTTACGGCTTCTATTTACACACTGACAGCCTTGAACAAGGAAATACCGGCAGCTAATGCTTGCCTCGTGACACGACAGTTCCCAACTACGCGCTGTCGCCTGCGAACTGTTAACCAAATACTCTCATAGTGTACAGGCTCTCAGCCGGCAAAACTGGTCTCGCCGCGAGTACTCGGAGCGAATTCTAGCTCCGTTTATAAACCCCTTAGCCTACTTGCTGGTAAAGCTACAAGCGGCATATATGTGCCAGATCTAGAGGCGGTCAGTGTTAGTCCCGTGTACAGGCACCTTATCGAATAGTTACCCTGAGGGCAAAAATTTCGCTCTGGGTTGATCCCTACCTTCCAAAAATAATAACACTTGTATTCTTCCATTCAGATATTATTAATAAAATCCCACCGTAATTCATGACGAATTTAACCCAAGCTCACTTCTACTCTCATGAAATAGAAATATTTACGTAATTTATAATAATGTGTAATATAATTATGTATAACCTACTGATACTGTGTATAACCTAAACTAACAGTAATCATGCTCGGGGTGTTGCCGCCGGCATTCACGAATAATGTAACCCAAGCTCACATCTACTCTCATGAAATAAAAACATTTTACATTATTTCTAATGATGTGTAATATAATTAAGTAATTAATTAACCTAAACTAACAGTAATCATGTGTGTTGCAGTGGTGCTACTCGGAAATCCTCAAGCGCCTGTACTGCCCGCCCGGCGTGACCTTCGAGGTGCTCGTGGCTCTTAAGAACTGGCAGGCCGTGGAGGGCGGGGGCGCTGCTGTGCGTCTCTGCGCCGTCTACACCGACGCCCACCACCGCACCAGCGCCGTCAAGCGGTGCTGCAATCACAGCAAGCGTGAGTTGAATTGCCTGTGTACACTCGGGGAAATAAGAGGGACTTGGTCTGAACAGTGATGCTACTATCACCGCAAGCGTGAGTTGAATTGCCTGCTTACACTCGCAGAAATAAGTGGGACTTGGTCTGAATAGCGATGTCACTACCACCGCAAGCTTGTATCAAGTTCTCTTCACTGCAGTTCCTGCTTACACTCGGGGAAGTGAACAAAAATTTGTTCAAATAGCGATGCACTTTTTGCGCTTGAATGACTCACCCTGGCCCAGTCTGGCACCGCAAAAGTGCGTATAAGTGTCACGTCCGCTCTCTGCTCCTTTATCTGCTCCGTACTTCTTGCTTACTCTGTTCACTTGGTTCTTACTCGTCGCGCCTAAATTGTCTTCCAATTCGTTCCTTTCTGTATTTTTTCAATGTATATCAATATTTTTTGCAGTAAATCTATCTCATAACCTATTAATCTTTCTTTTATCAACAAGATTTTATTTTCTTTATCAACGCCTCTCCATCCATCAAAGCTCAACACTTATGGCTTAAACCGCAGTCGTGGATCAAAATTATAGTATAGACGAAGTCATTATTTCTGGCAAATGGTGAAGTGGTAATTTTCTCAATCTTTGCATTATGTATCTAATGCTACTTTCTGTTAATGATCTACCGTTGTGGTAGTTTCTTCCATAGTTTCTAATGCATCTTTCTTTTAATGGTTACGTTGTAATTTTTTAAGTCTACAGAACAAGTTTCTATTGTTTTTTTTCATGCAGAGGACCAGACCCCGAACTGCGATCACATCATCCAAGTGGACAGCAGCCACGCGGTGTACAGCAGCGTCGGCGACCGGAAGGTGGTGACGGTGCCCCTGCACGCCCCGCCCCCTGGCGTGAACCACGTCAAGCTTCTCGTCAAGTGCACGTGCATGACCTCCTGCATGGGTGGACCAACCCGCCGCCCATTTGCTGTGCTCTTCTCCTGCATGAGTGAGTGCAATTAGAGGTGGTAACAGCTCTTACATAATTATGATGCGGACCCGACTCTGCAAGAGATGCCGACAAGGACCACGTAAATTAGTCGCTCTATGTCAGCTTCGGCGTGCTTGAAGTGGAGCCTCTTTCTTACCCTGCCGCAAGTTGTTATGACTCTGCTCCGGCCGACCCTAGTTATCCTCTCTGGACATAATAAAGTCTGAAAGAAGATAATGACCAGAAGCTGATTTAAATCTAGTGGTCAAACAGACGCAGAATAACTCTAAACCTATGTTAGGTACTTTTGGGCCCAGGAGTTACCCTATTTTTGTTAGGGGAGTTACTCTGTATACTTGCTAGGCTCTGATACTCGAGTGTTGTAGTCTGTGTTACTCTAGAAGATTATGCTTGGCTCTGTACAGACACTTGAAAGGGTAATATGCATAGAGGAGTTTCTTTCTCTCTCCATTCACTGGAATAGAAGTTATTCTTTTTTATCCAGACTTTGACAGTGCATTTATATGAACATTGAATCTCACATTCTTTACTGTGTCAGCCTGCATTTTGAGGCAAATCTCCATGCGTACGTTCTTACATTTAATGGCCACGTTTGTGGTGTTTGCAGTGCATGGCATGGAGGTGGGGCGTCACTGCTTGTCTATCAAATGCTGCAAAAATTACAATCGAGATAAGGATGCCGATGAAGATAAGCTCCAGCGCATTGAGGCTAAGGCTATCGAAGACCAAAGAACCAGAATTCCAAATGCCAAGGAGAAGTCTCCAGCTCCTTCTACATCTGGCGGTAAAAAGCGCAAGTTGGAAATGAAGAACAAAACCTCTGACGGTGGCCCTGATCTCAGCTGTGGGACAAAGTCTTCCTCCTGCGGCCTCTCCAGCCTCAGCACCCAACTGCCTGCCGCCATTTGCCCCCCAGCGCCTGCTGGCTATGTTAACGTACTCGTGAGTTCTTATTTCGCAACTTGCTAATTTGATTTTATTTTAAGTTCATTTCATTAAATTTTTGGTTATTTAGTGGTGATTTTATAGTTATTTTGTTGATTGTGTGTCATGTTTCTGAGATATACCGCACGAATTCAGTTGATATTATAGTTTTTTAAATAAATTGCACCTGTAAATTATTGTACCCAAATTCATTCTGAAAACTGATTTTACTCTGTACTGAGGAAATAAGTATTCATTTTATTTTTTTTACTAATAGGTTCCTTCTTTGGTTTTTCATTTTTTTTACTGCTACCTTAAATTATTTATAAAATTTCATGAAAGCATTCATTCTTCGCTCTGTAATATTATCTTTACTAAAATTTTGTGGCACTTTGAATCCTGTTAATTATAACTAACTAACACGTGCCAATCTTCTTTGGCTTCTGTTGAAAACTTGCTTCCAAGTCTCGTCTTTATCTGGATGTCTCGTATTCAACATCAACAATTGGTCACGTTATTATTTAAGAATTTAATAACCTATACAATTATTTTCGTCGGGAATTTTCTTATTAGAAATGTAAACGAAAGTACTTTGAATAAGCATGATTTTTCCGACTTTTCTGCCGCTAAATTTCTCCTCATTTTCGGCCTGTGACATTTTTTAATAATGTTTTTTCTTCCCCGTTGGGCCCAGGTACCCCAGCAGTACGAGACCCGCATGACGGACTACTTAAGAGCCCTCATCGCCCATGATCTGCTTAAGGAGAAGCTTCCAGAGACTTACCAGCGATATCTCAAGTAGAAGCCAAACTTACCTGGAAAAGCTACGCCTCTTCGCGTCCACTGTCACAATGGTGCTTTATTACTACACAAAGTGGACTAATTACTCATAGCGGCCGATTTATCGTTTGTGATTGATGGGTAGCCTGGGAGATGGGTTTTGTAGCCTGGGAGATGGGTTTTGTAGCCTGGGAGATGGGTTTTGTAGCGTGGGAGATGGGTTTTGTAGCCTGGGAGATGGGTTTTGTAGCCTGGGAGATGGGTTTTGTAGCCTGGGAGATGGGTTTTGTGGCCTGGGAGTTGGGTTTTGTGGCCTGGGAGATGGGTTTTGTGGCCTGGGAGATGGGTTTTGTAGCCTGGGAGAAGGGTTTTGTAGCCTGGGAGTCGCCAGTGGTTGGCTGACGATACCTACGCTGTGCCATCAACACAACATAAATGGTCAGCCATCATAAGATATTCGTTAGCTGATTATTAATTTCCATTGATTATTTAATTCGGTATTCAAATCCAGTAAATCGAAATGTCGATTATTTTTACCATTTTTCTCTTGGAAAGGGCATTATTTTGTGTGATGTGTGCTGTCTATTGTCCTTCTTGGCAACTCCGGAGCCATTTATTGCATTTTTATGGTCATGCCGCCTGCGTAAAATTATCTGGCTTAACGTACGTGAAGACTCGCATGAAAATCGTTGCTTTTGAAGTTTATAAAGATTTATATGTAAACCGTTGCTTTAACGCCCACGAAGATTTGCATTAAAATTGCGGCGTTTGACGCATATGGAAACTTGGATGAAAATAGAGGCGTTTGACGCAAATATATATTTAAAGAAAGTAGTGGCGTTTGACGCACGTATATATTTAAATTAATTAGTGGCGTTTGACGCATATGGAAACTTGGAGGAAAATAGAGGCGTTTGACGCAAATATACATTTCAAGAAAGTAGTGGCGTTTGACGCATATGGAGAGTCGGATGAAAATAGAGGCGTTTTGATGTTTATTAAGACTTAAGAAAATATTTTTGCTTGACCTAAATATAGAATCTCGCAAGCTATGCGTTCTCAAAATGTTCTGTTGAAAGCTAAGACTTTAAGGATTCTCTTTCTAATTATTCCATGTTATTCTTTTCTCGTTGTTTTAGAATTTAGAACAAAGCAAGTAATTAGCTGCTGCTCAATAGGGCCTTCGATATTGTAGGCGACTTTGTACTTTATCTTCGCTTGAAGTCGAATTACGACTTGAGCAATGCATTTAGTGTAATAATTTCATTTATTTATTCTACTTCTTGATGAACTTAACATGGGAATTAATGAACTGAATTTTATTTTAACTTTATTTGCAACTGCCAGTATAATATTGGACTGTAAATTATTATGCCTATTTTAAATTAAATTGCGTTCTGCAATGTAGTAGATACAAATTCCTTGTTATATGCCTTTGTACAACCTCAAAAAAAGTTTCTTGTTATTATCGACTTCTGGGGGTCATGGACAGAACTCAACGGGGTCGATATATTGGGTTTGAATGAAGGGATTAAGTAGCGCATTTGTTTCATTTAATAACAATTCTTATCATTTTTGAACAATGTGTTTTTTTTTTCATTTCAGAAAAAATTTACCCTGTATAGCTGAACTCCTCTTATATTTTCAACTTGTCACTTTTATCGATATATATCTTCAAACGTTTTATTGGTTACAACATTATATTAGTTTGCTTAATAATTTTTTTCTTGTTTACATGCATCCAAATTATCAATTATGGTTTTAATTCTTGAATTTTTCTCGAACTCTCGAGAGTTTTTCCTACAGTAGTACGGATACTATTAGTAGGTACGCGAACAATTTTCTGACGCAGGAACGATCTTTAATCGTGACATATTTACTTCACAAAAATTTTGATTACCTATAACATGATGAAATGGTTTGTAGTTACTTGGCAATCGATTATACGTGGAAACGTATAATCGATCCTAATATATCTATACTGAGATAAACTCGCAAAAATTTACTCTATTAATGATTAAGAGACCTTTTTTCTAATAGAGTTGCTTGTCTCGGATGCTTGTAACTTATATGGTTACGTGCAATTGCAACGGCCATGGGCATCTCACAGGTATCAATGATGTGCAACTGTTACTACAGTATATGCCATCTACCTGGCCTCAGCATCAACCTGATAAATTCAAACATTAAACTAAGTTTGATAATTATTGAAGCATTGACTACAATAAAGAGCTACTTATTCTATATATACTGGAGATGATATGCGTTATAATGGGTATGCGGTGCCTGTACGAAAATAAAGTGCTTCTTGAGCATGGACCATGTGTACATGCCAACATGAACATGATTTACCCGACAATATCAGGTAAATGGACCAGGGTGGCCCAGTGGTTAAAGTTCAAGAGTACCAAGATTGGAGCAGAGAGGTGCGGTTTCGATCCCAGCTCTGTGCGCCAGTTTCTGGTCAGTATCGGCGAGGAGGCCGCGCGGTCCATGGTTGAATTATTTAGAACAAAGGAATTCATAGAAATTCAACCATGGGGCGGTCAAGTACAGCAGAATTGTAGCTGTGACTGTGAGTTGCGAGTTCGAGACCGCAACAAGCTGTGAATGTTCTGCGATGTTGAGAATAGGCGACAGGCCTACGGCCTACTAAACGCCTAAACCGTTATTATTATTATAATGTACATTAATGAAACTTTCTTCATTTAGCCAACCTACTACCAATCTACATTCAAAGTTGGTATTACTAGCAGGTTAGACGTTGATCGTGCTCGATAATCCTGCAATATTCAAATCAAAAATAGGTCATCACCCACAAGTGGTGGAAGGTCTCAGATGTCCAGCCCGCTGAAGCTGGCTCGAAGGAAGCAGCGTCAGCATCTCAAAGAGACGAAGTGACAAGGAGGGACAGGTGAAAAGCAACAGAAACGAAGACACTCGAACAAGAGGTCGCTTACACGGGACGTCGGCCGCCCGCACGAGAGAGACAGAGAAGGGAAATGTAAGGTATCCTACCTACATAGTAACTTAATGTAAGGAATCCTACCTACATAATAACTTAACCCCACAACTAAGACCTGCAGTCAGACTCCGCGAGCTCAGCGGTGGGGCGCTCAGGAACAATCCCCCTAGGAACGCAAAATCCCATGGAACTTCTGACGCGCATAGACACGCGTCAGAAGTACCCTCTGAGGGGAAGCTACCGGTAGGCATGTTAATTAGATTCTTGCAAGCCGACATCTTACAGTGAACAAAGAACTCCTATTTGATTATACTTTCAAAATACGAAAAGAAACTTTGCACCTTTTAAATTTAATTGTATATCCCAACATAAATAATCAAGGTTTCATTTATGTCCAATCCTTGCACAGCAGGTGTGCAATGCCTTATTTTATTTCTTTTAATTACGGCGCTGGTCTTCAAACCACTTCCTAATGAATTCGTAATTTTCATTTAAATAAATTAAACGAACTTCATAAATAAGATTTTTTCCGAATACCGGCTGTACAAACCACGAAGCTGCTTGTGTGCAACATATTTGAACGCGGCGCGATACGTGCAGTTCGTGTCGCACGACGCATGCGTCCTCAGGAAGTGAAAACTGCAACAGGAAAGCCAAGAAAAAAATATGACCGAAAGTACAGTTTTTCATATTAGCACCGATATTTTGTTGAATCGTATTCATTATGACAACTTTAGAATTGTTCATGTTTTCGGAGATAATTTTGAAAACAATTATTCGAATGTTTAAAGAAACAATCTTGAGAATCAATTGATGCGGAATAAGTAAAAAAAAAGTCTAGAATTAATAGATAAATTTCATTTTCTAACCTGTGCACTGCCGAAAAAATTCTTAAACATAATTAATGTTTAGGATTGCTCTACGAGTGCCGCTGTGCGTTGCCACTTGCCAGTTGACAGTAGAGAGGCGTTCGGGGTGGTTGAATTCGACATAGTTGTGAATGTTTCCTGCTGAAAGTCGTTACTGGACAGTCAGTGAATAAACAAAATTTGGTGCAGTCCTCCCATTCATTAGTACTGCGCTATCAAGTTAATGTTATTAAGTACGCCTTTCTACTCGCGTTATGGCATAGCAATGCGTTTACGTGGTAAATGCGTTAGTAAATCAGCGGTATTGCCGCAAAATCTTCTAAAAACCACCATTAATTTTAGAAATTCACATACATTTAAATCAGAGGAACAATTGATAGCTATAAAAACAAACAGCCGTGTGCTTGTTGGTGTGAATTGAAAAATTTTCATGTTTTTCACTAATCACTACTGTTTTGCTACTGTAAACTTGTTTGTTGAGGTGTGTCCTGATTTCTGAACTAAAGTTATAAACATTTACTGGATAAGTTTAGTTGGATATAGCCTACTACCTTCCTAATCCTAAGTAACCTAGGCTGGAAGGCTGAAGGCTAGGTAGGCTATCACATTAAACGAGTGTGGAAAAGGAATATAAAAACCTACATATTGAATCTGATAATACTAGGTATGCAATATGAATTAGTTCTTATACCTAATTGTGATCTAAACAAGAGTTATGAGTATTAGGCTAGTTTGTTCAAATTACTAATCCTGCACACTGCACAGCATAGTGGCCAAATGGCTATTAGTGCTTAGTAAGTTTAAGTTAGTAGGTGACAGGTGTGGGACTGGGAAAGCGGAGATATTTTTAGACTCTTCCATTTTGACTTTTGAGTCTCCAAAATCTCTAAAAATAGGCTTAAGCTACCTATGAAGCCTGAAGGAGACAAAAATGCCCATGCATGAGGAAATTTTACTTTTTCCAAAGGCTCTTGCCCCAGACTGTAGAGCATGGCACAACATAGGTCGAGGACGCCGATTTCATGCACCAAAGACGCCAAGGTGGATGCCACTGGACGCCGGTCGCCAATTATGCTTCTCCATAAATCGCGATTTACGATCGATATGGCCGATGCGCCGTATCTATAGATCGCGGTAGAACGCAATAGATCACGTTAGAACACAATAAGTCATGTTAGAACACAATAGATCATGTTAGAACACAATAGATCATGTTAGAACACAATAGATCACGTTAGAACACAATAAGTCATGTTAGAACACAATAGATCACGTTAGAATACAATAGATTGACAAGTTTTTTCAGCAGTAGCATTGGGCTTGCCAGACGTGTGCACATTGTGATCGGGTGACAGATACAAGCAATCAAACAAGCTGAAGATGGGCGCGGTGACAGCGGGGCTGATCATGCAATCTATAGTTTATGGTCGGTCATGGCTGCCTGAGCCATAGTTTATGATCGGCCATGGACGCCAATTTAAGGTCGATGTGGCTGATGGAGAGCTTGAAAAGACGCCGATATCTCGAGCTAAAAGGCCCTACTCTACAGCCTGGCTCTTGCCAGTTGCCTAATATGTTCAGTATAAATTAAGGAATATAACATTTTGACCATTGACATAATAATAATAATAGCGGTTTCAGCGTTATTAGGCCGTAGGCCTGTCGCTGATTCTCAACATCGCAGAACATTCATAGCATTTTGCGGTCTCATACTCACAACTCACTGCTACAATTCTGCTGTGCTTCACCGCCCGCGCCCGGCCTCCTTGCCGATTCTGACCAGAAACTGGCGCACAGAGCTGGGATCGAACCTGTGCCACTCTGCTCCAATCTTGGTACTCTGAACTGTAACCACTGGGCCACCCTGCCATATGGAAAATTTGCTTCATATTCCTGATTGTCAAATGAAAAAAATATGGGCAGAAGCACATGCAGACAACAGACTTGCAGTCTTGCAAGTTGCAAGCATGGAAAATGTCTACCTTTAGGCTAAACTGTTTAGGAACACGACTAGAGGTTTCTTGCCATTTCCATTATTTTTCCAGAACCGCAAGATTTCTGCCAGAAGAATTACTTCCTATCTAATTGTTAACAAAAGTGTACAATTGAGCTGCAAGATTCCAATTGTATTAAAAATTTGTCACATTGGAGCTGCAAAATTTCAGAAACAAGTAGGAAATATCCAATCCTGAGCACTTGCCATTGCTTGTACTGTAGTGTCAAATAGTGTGGAATTCAAGAGGGGAAATATATTAACTGGTAAACATAGGGAATCTGAAACAGAAAGGATGACCTAAAAATCTGGAAAGGCCAGCATACCTCCACTTTCAGAGTTTCAGTTCATCGTCATCACTGACACGTCTGCAAGCTGCCACAGCGGCACAGCTGTTTCATTGGAAAAAACAGAGCTTATACCACATAGTGACCAACCAGAGATTTTTTAGAGTCAGTTCAATTTTAATTTCTTCATTTACTCAAGATTAAACCAATTTCTTATGTATGAAAAGTCTGGTAGATGGTAGCCATGATACTTTACTGGTCTACTTATACCATGGTCAGGAAGATGTGCCAGGGGCGCGGGAATTTATTTTGTCATTTTAACGACCTGCGCGGTGCGCCGTACTACGTTGGTAAAAAAATGCGCCGTGCGCCGTACTTTAGAAAGCTAAAATAGTTCTACTATTTTAGTCGACAATATACGCGAGTATATTGACTACGCGAGTCGAACTGACAATAATAAAATGTAAGACATGTCCGGGTTATTCATTATAATTCACTGGCAGTCATTATAATTCACTGGCAGTCATTATAATTCACTGACAGTCATTATAATTCACTGGCAGTCATTATAGTTCACTGGCCCTCCAACACGGCGTAAAACTGTTTTAGTAGCAAAACTAATTGGAATATTGCAAAACTAAATGTAGTGGCGTAAACGTCAATATTTTTCCTATCTATGTAGTATAAAGGAAGTTCAAAAATATATTTACTAGCTTTGAAAAATTCCTGAAAAAAATGGTGAAAAATGATATTTTGAAAAGTTACTTCTGCTAAGGTCTGTGGTAAAAAAATAACTGTGTGAAAAAATTTTGGTTAGAAAAAAGTGGCAGACAAGTGTCAGCATGAAAACTTGTTTTGTGGAACTTACATACCTCAATAAAAAAAAATGGCGGCCATTTCCGCACGGTGGGGCTACTCGGGACACCCCCAAAAATGCATTTACCGTAGAACCTCAGTTAGCAAAGGCTCCAGTTGAGAAAAAAATTGATTAAAAACAAAGAATATTGATTACATTTACCTTGCTCAGCGAAAAAATTTCACTTATCAAAAAATTAGTGCATCATCAGTCATCACAAAATTGTGCATAGAATGTCATTATTGTCATATATAGAATTGTGCACCAGGCATCATAGAATGAAAAGTAATTGACCTAAACTATGATTTATTTCTCCTAAACATATGATGGTTGTCACTAAAACATTTCTTTCTGTTTTAGGTATGTTTTTCACAATCTTTTATTTAGAATAAATTCACTTAACCCAATTAAAATGGTGTGAAATTACAAGCCATCCTCGTCCTGTAAGCTTACAGATACAGAAAAAATGCAATAAGGCTGCTGATATGAAGCTTGCAGTGGAGAAGATTGTTGTAAATGCTCAATGGCATGTTCATGGATACGGTAATATCGCATCAATAATACGGTAATATCGCCTCAATGATATGGTAATCAATGTAGTATATGGTAATATCATATCAATAAATGAAAAACAAGTAAAAAATGAAGAAAATGTCATTCATTCTGCCTCTACATCATCTACAATGAAAGAGGAGGACTTCAGAGTTCTGTTAGTAATGGATGAGTACACTCTGCATGCTTCAAATGTTTTAAAATGATGTTTTATTCCAAGTGTCCCGAGTAGCCCCATTCAAGGGGGCTACTTGGGACACTCTTTTTTTGCTTCTGGCACCTTTTGAATAGCATATGGAACTTTTTTGGAGAAGCCATGTGATAGCCCTTGCAAAGAGCTTTGAAATGAGCCTAAACTTGTTGATGAAATGTTTCATGGTAAGAAGTTATGAATGAAAAGTGTTCCAATCGGCCCAAGTTAAGTAGCCCCGGTTGATGGTAACATCTTCACTATGTACATTCACTCACAAATACATAAAAAACTGCATATGATTCAATCCACAAACACAGAACTGATCACTGATGCAATAAGCTGATACATGAAAACTCCTTCCGTTGCAATCAGGAATACCAACCAAACAAAAATCAATAATAAAGAAAGCAGGGATACCAACCATCAATATACTTGTTTGAAAAAGGAAAGATATGAATTATTCTATATTACAAATTTATCAGTAGTAACTGACATTCAGCAGAATGGTTTAATAACCTTTGTAAATGTTATGCATGCATGCATTGAGAATCAATCGTGTGCACCAGACAAGGTGGTGGGAATCTAACGATGGTTAGTGGCTGCTGGCTGGTTAGTTCTCATTATGCAATCGGTGGGTGAGGTAACTGCAATGCATTAACAGCATATAAAGCTCCCAAACTTTGAGATGATAATTAAGTGAAAACTTTACGTGATATATTGTGAGCCTTTTAAAGTTTTAACAAATGAATAAATCACAAGCTTCACAGAATTTAAAGGTTTGAATGCTACATTTTTTAGTACTTTAATCTAGTCAGTCAACTGATTCATGCAAGTGTCATGTCTTGCATTGCCCTTTCTTTGATAAGTTTCTCTGATTGTCGATGAGTTTCTCCTCAATTTCAAAGCTGACATAATGAATAGGTGCAATAAATGTTTTTTTTATTGAATTTGAAACCATTATGTTAGAGTAATTAGTATTTTCTTCTGTAGATCCCTCTTGCACATCTGTGAGTGACACGCAATTAACTATGTTGGGAGTGGGATGTTCTGTGTTTACTGACATAACGTTCATGCCGAAGCTGATTTCTGACAGCCTGCAAACCTGTTTCTAGATGCCTGGAACATTTTTTTTAATGCAGAACACTTTTTTTAAGTCTACCACTAATCTTAGAATTTCATCCTGGTAGACTCCTGCGTCTCGAAATAATTTTCTCAAAATGAACCGGGACAGACGAAACGAGACGAGAAAATTCCGGGAAAAAAATAACGGGACAGAGGGTAAAATTTGTCCCGGAATAAACGTATGAACCGAGACAAGACTTCTGTCCCGGACTTTAAAACTTGTGTCCCGGTTATTTATGAACCGGGACGAGACAGACAGATTTGAAACGAGACATAACGAGACGAGACGAGATTTGTCTTAATTATTTAAGATAAAACAAGTTTTTCGATTACGACTCGAATTATTTCAATGACATGGGTTGAAGAATGACAAGTTAGCCCTTTATTGCTAATAGGGCCATAGACGGTTACCAGTTAAATTGAGTTAATTGCAGATTTAGTAAAATTTGTCTGACTAACTGACATGGCAGTTAATTAGTGGTCCGACAAACACCGCAAACCTGTCGATATATGCATGGCTGAGTATTGAGTCAAAAATGTTGGCTTCGATGGCACTTATGGATGGCACTAAGGCTTCGATGGCACTTATGGGAACTGTACGAATATGAGTCGAGTTTATTATGCGTTCGGAACGAGTTCAGGCGCCGTGGAGCGCATAGGGAGTAGGGACGCATGCAGTGTCTAGATTAGTCGGCCAATTAGTAGACAGTGGAGTGGAGTCCTGGTAAGATATTCCTAATAATACTAAAGCTAGTTTTAGATTATCTCTGCCTCTAGTAAAATTTTGTGCTACGCCTCCAGGATATCTTCACAATTGCGCAGTTTCCTAAATTGTTATCAAACACTTGGGCTTGTTTAACGTTATTTAGAAAGGATACACATGGATATTTCGAGTTCTTTTTTGAAGATCAAACTATTATATTTTTTCCAACTTAAACTTTGTTGTATTTTAAAATGTTGTTTAAAATGGCTATAAATTCCGGGAAATTTTAAGGTGCCTATTTTAACCGGGATGTCTCGTCTCGTCTCGGTATCGTCCCGGAATTCCTACGGAGGGCTGAAAATTGTCCCGGTTTTTATTGCGAACCGGGACAGAGCCTGTTGTCTCGTCTCGTCTCGTCTCGGAATAAACAAAATGCCAAACGCAGGAGTCTACATCCTGGTGTCAATTCTAAAAATTAAGGTTTACATATTATTTTCAATCCATCATTTTTTATCCAAAATTTTTAGTTAAGATAGAATAAAAATAAGGAGGGATTATAGTTGCACTTGAAAGAATCAAGAATGAAAGTTGCAATGTTTCAAGAGTTCAATTAGACTAAATATTAATTTATTAGCTATTTGTCTCCAAGTTGAACACAACAAATTAACATTTATGAATTAATAACAAATCACACCACCAGGAAGAGTTGAACTTAACATGATGCACCATGAACCTATTTTGCGGGAGCAAAATCTCACTGAGTGAACTTGTACAACTCATTGACACATTGACAGTTTTGAGTTGTTAACAGTTGTTTGTATGTACATTGAGTTGTTGACAGTTTTGTTTGTATGTACTAAAAGTTGCAAGTTGGTAGTTCATATACTGGAGATTTGGTGTACAAAAATGTTAGTCATGCGTTGCAAATGTATGATTGTGTGGGATCATATAGCCTGCATCAATGTTTAAACTATTTATGGTTCACAGTACTTTTTTTTTCTCAACATTTGCACAGCAATAGTATTAGTGACTGCTGCTGCTTTCAATTTTGGCTATTGGCACTTGCTCTGCATGACCATCTGTACCTACTGATGGGAGTCAGATAGTCTTGCGCTAACTGCATGTTTTTTTGGTTTCAAGAAGCTCATTTCCCCAAATTGTCACAAGAACCTACATCATCCTGAGTGTTGCTCACACGCACCTACATCATCCTGAGTGTTGCTCACATGCACCTACATCGGCACATAAACTTAAGCCAATATTGTAGAGATAAATGTATATTCTATATTATATATACTTGAATATTATACAATAATTTTTTACGTACATGCAAGTAGATGACTATTGGGAGCTTGATGCTCAAAAATACTTGTTTTTTGTTAAGTATAGCAATTGTCTTGTGAAATATTATATATACATCACTGATCTCTTGGACCTTGGCTTTATTCTATATGAAGTTGATCATCATAAACCTGAAGTCTCTTCTCATCATCCACTAGCAGCATAGCAGGTAGGTGCCTACTTTTTGAAATTCTGCACCCAAGTGATTCAATTTAATTTCTACATCATAAATTAGCCTTAGATTCTAAAATCAAAAGAGATTAGTTGCACTGAGGATATTTTTATAATATTTAGATTATATACATAGGGACAACAATATTTTTACTTTCATCTTAGCCTTAAATGTTTCCTTGACTTGCTAGTGCAATGTTTAAGTTTCTTTTGTTACCCAGCATTCAGTGTTCTGTCACCATTTGTGTGAAGTATCTTCATCCCTGTAATGGCCTGTATTGAAATTTGAACATCACTGCTGAACCTCATGTTTGTGACAGTCTTCTCACATTTCATCCTAAATCTTGCCACTGCTTATGTTATTTCAATTCTTATTATTATTTATTCATCAGCATTGACTTTTATCCTCATGTCCATTGCTAAGGAAGGATGCTTTATTCATTCCATTATTACCGGTATTAATTTTTCCTTTAGAGAACTTCCAACTATACTGATTGGTAAAAAAAATCATAAAGATCATTTGATAGGGTTTATAGCCATAGCAAATTTTCTGTTACTGAGTGCACCGTAGCAGTGATACGGTTCTTCAGATCAACCAGAGTTGCTGGTAGAGGCAGGATGTAAACAGCTTCCTTGACATAACCCAATAAAAAAATGGCCAAATGGGGTGAGATCAGGTGCCAGATGTGTAGAGCCAGATCTTCATTTCCTATGCATCCTACAATTTCAATGTTTGCTGTGCAGCACAAAGGGGACTTATTGAATATTTATAAATACCTATGTAAAAAATTTTGAATTTTTCTCTTTGCATTGGTGTATAAATTATTTGTTTTGAATTTATACTTGAATAAAGACAAATTTATTAAATTAGGTCCATCATTTAGAATATCCTTGCATTTGTACAGGATTCATACCAGTACTAACTGTACACACAACTGTTAATACATATTTCTACACAAAGTTGTGTATTTTGAAAAGAGCCACAATTTAGCTCCTTGCACTGGCTTCTTCTAGAACTGAGTTAGTTAAGTTTTCTACCTTAGCATTAGTTCAATGTCAATCTCACCTTCATTGCCCCACAATTGACAGGATATGTCATGAAAACATGAATGTTTGGGATATTTATGTTTTCACAAGAGAAGAAATCTTGATAACAAGACTCTGTTTGCTACCATTCACTACTATGTCTCCAACATCTAAAATCTAAACAATTTCTGTTTTTGTATGTGTGCAAGAAGTCTTGCCTATTTTGAGTGATTGCTAAAAAATCAAGGAGTAATTTTTATGGCATTTCTCATTCATGGAAAAAAGGTGCTATTGTGCTCGTCATGCCCATCTGTCTGTGCATGACTTCAAGTCACGGACGGTCGAGCTTATGTGCTCTCTGTCACTCATTGCAGTGAGTACTGATCTAATTTTTTTTTACCTACTTCTACTTCTTGTTATCAAACTTGGATGGTATTGCCATCAAGGCCATCAAACTAGGTATTATGCCACTGGAATTGTATTGAAGATGTCTATAAATTGTGCAGGTGCCGTGCTGGTGTGTTCATTGTGTTCTGTGTAGGAACCAAGTCTCCCCTGCAAATAGCTCAGTCCCCCTACCCTACAGCCATGCCTGATGACCTCATGTGAGTATATATATTTATGCTTCAGTGTCACCCCTCATGTAACTCACAACATCAACTTATAATTCTAATGTGTTTTGTTCATCTAAAATTTCTGCTTGTTTTGTCTGGGGAGTGATTTTATGTGGTGATTTATATTGATTTGGTTAGGTATTTAAAATGTATTTAAAATTAGCTGTAATTGTTTCAGAATGCATTTTATGGCTAAGCAAAACATGGTATAGAAAGAAAATTGTGGGAGATTTGTCTGGTTTTTATTGTGACTTGCAATTAGGTATGCAATGTTCATGTTGAGCCATGCTGTGGTTCCAGGGTCGTTAGCCGCAGTGTTGAACATCGGTCAGATGAGGTGTTGAAGCGGACACACGTTACAGCCCAGAGGTACCCACCCCTTGGGGAACTCAGCATGGCTTTTTTGTGCTGTGCATCCTATGTCTTGTGGGGGACATTATTTGGCTACCATGCATTCATCCCATCATTAAATATGCCTATTTTTGCGTTGTACATTTATCCTTAGTTGTAGTGTATTTATTATATATAATGCTGAGAGAAGGTGGAACTGCACTGGGCAATATGTTCAGCAGCCAGTTGCAATTTTTATGTCAACCTTAGTTCATGGTTAAGCTGTTTATCATTGTGGTGGTGTTTTCATAAATTGGGTCCATTGTTGTCCATTTTTTCTTTCCATTGTGTATGGTTTATCATTAGATATAATTGAATTTGATTGTTGGTTTAGCTTTCAATGTATTCTGGTTCCATACTTGCTATGAAGTCAAGAGAATCTGTAATGATTCAGCTGGAAAGCATCATCTTGGTGTATTTTTGCTTATTGATAAAATTGAAACTTGAAATCAGGGTTGGCGATTTTTTTTGATTTTTAAAAAAAAAATCAAAAAAATAAAAAATCAATGATTTTTTGATTTTTTCATGATTTTTTTGATTTATTTGATTTTTTTGATTTTTACAACTTTTTTGTCTTTTTGAAGTGTTATTTTTTATGTTGCAATTAGCCTACTAACAATAACAGTATATGGATCATAATGGATGGCTAAAAAGGGTACCTATTGCTTTCAATAATGGCCAACAGGCCAAGGTGGTGTTTACCACTTAGGGATTTTTGGGTAAACAATTATTGGTAAGTCTATTCATTAGCTTTGTAAAGTTTGTATGGAGCAAGGTAATGAGCTAAATATTGACCATTTAACTGGCTTCCATATACAAAAACACTTCAGGAATGCAGATCTTCTAGACATTGAAGAGTCACATAACAGATAGGTAGCTGATAGCAGTGCACAGCACTATCAATAGATCTACTAGTTTTATGTCCTATAAATCTACCAGACTCTACCCTCTATACACACCTACTAGTAGTGACTGAGTGCACTGTACCCATTTAATTCAAACCAATACTAAACATAAACTGAACGATATCCAAACAAACCCCATACGACTTGAAATGAGACCTAAGTTATGATAAAAGCTAACACTGTTTGAAATAAACATGTGCACAATTCAAATATTTTATATCCATTCACTGCATTTAATCATTTTATATATAGTCTTATAATTGTAATTGTTTTGTTTCTAGTTTTAAATTCACACATTTAAAGACTGAAATTAAATATTTTAATTAGAATACTCATATTAGGGTGGAAATCTTTCTAATTGCCTAAAAGGTCAATACAATCTTAACCTCTCAATATACAGGGTGGGAGAGAACCGATTGAGCAGTTTTGAGGTAAAATAAAAGAGTAATGGAGGTACATAAAGAAGAAAGTTTATTTTCCTAGAGGTTAGCATAACATATCATTTAGAATACCAACTTATGTTTTGAAAACAATATCTGGAAGATGGGGGCCATTAGCAGCAACACACTGTTGGAGTAGTTCTCAGAGTAGGGAGTAACCGTAACAGTGAATTCCAATCACTATGCTGCAATGTTGCAAAATTTCTTGCAGCCCATGATGGACAAAAACATTGTTGAAAATGAAGCATTGGGAGACATGTGGTTCCAGCAGGATGGGGCTACAGCTCACACAGCCTGAATGTCACTCAATGTTTTGAAATGCATGTTCCCAGACTCTGAGGGGTGATTTAGGTACAATGGCCTGCGAGGTCACCTGATTTGAGCATTTGCGATTTCTTTCTTTGTGGACATCTAAAAGAAAGGGGTTCAGAAGTTGCCCTCACACCCTACCACAGGTAAGGGAACAGATTATTGCAGCAGAGGTTATGGCCATACCTCGCCATATGTGTGAACGTGCTGTAGGAAACTTCCGAGAACAACTCCAACAGTGTGATGCAGCTAACAAACCCCATCCTGATATTGTTTTCAAAACATAAGTATTTTAAATGGTATGTTATGCCAATCTTGAGAAAAATAAACTTTCTTCTTTATGTACTTCCATTACTCTTTTATTTTGCCTCAAAACTGTTCAATCAGTTCTGCCCCACCCTGTATAAGCTTTAACACATTTAAATTGTATATTGTAATCAATATATAACAACTAGTCAAATAGTTAGACTACTTATAGCCTTATAAGAATTAGCCAAGCTGCTAGCTATGTACAATGTATTGCACACTTGATGTACGTACCAAAAACATTCAATTTATTGGAACCTAATACACACTAAAGGCAACAAGTTTATATACCAATTTGTCATTCATAGTACATTTATACTAAACCATGAATAACAATACCTCAATATAAATTAAAGACTGCCGCTCAATATATTTATATATATGAAAAAAATCAAAAAAATCAAAAAAATAAAAAAAATCATGATTTTTTTATAAAAAATCAAGTGATTTAATCACATGATTTAATCATTTTGATTTAATCATTGCCAACCCTGCTTGAAATAGATGTGTTAAAAGGCATTAGAAAAATTGACCAGCATCAAAAGGTTTTCATATCTATGCAGTTGCAGTTCATGCTCATGGCATTTCATTTCCATGCAGTTGCAGTTAATGCTTGCAGTTTGTTTTGTTCATCCCTTGTCTCTAAAATTGCCAGATATACATTGCAATAACTACGGAAAAGATATATTTTCATGCATATTGTAGATCTAAAATATTATAGTCATAAAAATAATGTTGCATCCTTATGCTTGGTAGTTTTATATACATTGATCTAATGACATCGGGTAGAAGAACCAGTGACTTGCTGGTCAGCTTTGTCTGCCCTAGGTTATGTGGGTGACAACAACATGCCTGGAGTAGATGCTTCTCTTCTAACATCTGTCTGTTCATCAACTGCTGCTAATATTATATCATCAGCTTGCTTCCAGTATTATATCATCATCTTTCTGCTAATATAATGATTGCTGCTATACTTGTGACAGTTGGTTGCTGCTCTACTGAGGATATTTAATTGCTAATAATAATTGTAAACTATGAATGCTTGTTTATGGTGATTATGTTGATGTAGTATTGATTAATGCTGTTATTTGATTATTCTAGAATTATTTGTCATGCATTTTCTAATTTGTGGCAACTTCTTCTGCAACTTGCTGGGTGATTTTCATTATTAATATGTTCTGCGTTTTACAGCCCACATCACTTCTGAGACTCCATCTCCTGGCCAGGTAAAGTATGATAGATTGTGTTGCTGCTAACCTGCCTGACATTCCCCATCTTTTCAGTTGAGTATTCCATCTGTCACCATCTGCACTGATCCATACGATCTCTAGACCATATTTTACCATCTGGGTTATGAGGCTTCCTGTAATCCACCTGGCTCCATCCGACTAATCCAAAATGCTACCTCTAGCCCTCCTGGTACAACCTGCTCTGGATTATGGTGCTTCCTTTAATCCACTTGGCAGCATCTTTTGCACCTTTGTATGCCATGTATTGGGTGTTTTTTCTTACAGTAATTCCATATCTAAACCCAATAATGAACTTAACTCCTCATTAAATCACCTTTATCCTCATGTCCATAGCTAAGGCAGGATGCTTTATTCGGCTGTGGTATACAATTATCATAATGATATAGCATTCCTGACGCAACCACCTCTCTCGTATATCCCCCTGTATTAAAGGTGCACATAGGTATATATCTTTTGGCAGTGATCCGTCATTGTAAATATCTAACAATCCTAACATAATCTTGTCCCCCATATATAACCCTATATCTTAGGGGCACAGTATCTACTGAAGCCAACACAAAAGTTTGGTCATGGCACAGTTGTGGTTTGGAAGAGGTTTGCAACATCAAGGTTTAGAAATGCCCATCACAAATATTTTTTATATTATCATTAGATCAATATCCTTAGATTAGATGCATGCCTGCAATTGTCTTAGCTGCCCTTGCCTGCCTCCTCATTTCTTTGCCCTGTTGCACAATGGTTCCTTATTAATTTAGCTTATTTTTAGTGCTAAAGTATTTCTTGTAGCCTCATTTCAGCAATTACAAGAGTGAAGATTTGAATTCATACAGCACAGATACTTTCAGCTAAAGACATTGTAGTTACCCTGACTACATAAATGTTCATTTTGTGCCTCAGGAGAGTGTGTACTTAGTCCTTTCTATTTGGCCTTGGAGGGGCTATGGAGAGATTTATGGCCAACTTTTTAACAAAATATGTATGTAAAGACTAGCAAAAACAGCATATCCACTGATAAATTTCTTAAATGTCAATAAGCCTACTAACTTGTAGTTTAGCCGGGAATACCAGTGGGACTGTACAGGCATTTATAGGTAGTTAGTAGATGATAAGTTTGTATAGAGCTTGGGTAGGAACGTTAGGGTTGGTACTGGATAAAACATGATGTTTTCCTCCTCCCTCCTTATGCTGCTTACCCCAGGCTCCTTCTTGTTGAGGCTGCGGACAATCTTGGTACCCTGCCAAGGTGGGGCTGTGTTTGTTGTCAGTTCTTACATCATGCTCCTTTTCTTGCATTTGTCCTGCATTTGCCCCTAACTCTTCTTACATTTTACACTTTGTAGTAAATTTTCTTTGTGCACTTTCTTTGCACTCCCATTACATACTGTGCTTTGTAGTTTGTAATACATTTTATCCTTTGCTTGCCTGGCACTTAGAAATACATTCTGTCCTGCACTTGCCGTGTGCTTTGTATTACATTTTCTTCTTTGCTTGCCTTGCACTTGCTAATAAATCTTGTCTTTGGGTTTCACTTTGCCTCAAAATGTATACCTTCAAGGTTCAGATATTTTATGTGGTAGCTCCTATTACCAATCATATCTATGAACGCTAGTGCAAACCTTGCTTGCCTCGTAAACTCTTTCATTAATGTACTAGATCTTTGTAAAATCCCACCTCTAGTACTGCTGATTGTAGATGGTATCTGATTTTTATTTAGTACCATGTTATTTATGAGTACCTAGTGTATGGTTCCCAAGCTTTTACTAGTAAATACAGCAGTGATTCCTAAACCGGGGGTAAATTGCCTCCTGTATGGTAAGTTGTCAATTGTTAGGGGTAATAGGAGACTCAGAAATGAGTGGGACCTAGTCCAAATTTTTATGCACTTTTTACTCCTGTGTGTGTCATCCTGACCCATTTTGGCCTGGCAATGCGGCATATTAGTGCTACTTTTGTTCTCTGTTCATGCTGTGATAAATAAAGCATGTCACTATTAAGACATGGCACATTAAATTTTCTATGCGACGGGTGGAAAACTTAAAAAAACATAAATTTTAAGCATTTATCTTCCAGTTTTGAAGGAGTGGAAGTGCACCATGCTTATTGCAGCACAGTATTAAAATGAGAAACAATGACAGTATTAGGAAGCAATGTTATTGAGAATGTTATTGCAGACCTTGGTGCAGCCCACCTCCCATAGCCCCTCTGCTGCTGCATGTTATGGAGTATTAACGTAAAATGGGGTAACTTAGACTACTTTTTTTAATGATGCCATTTTTTACTAGCTAAATTAAACTTAAATTGAAACATGCAAAATACAGGTCTATACTCTAGGTTCACTCACCATAAATTGCTGGCTCCTGCCTCTCATAGTTTTTTTATAATTTCAAAAAAGTGATGGTCTTTGTTACTCCAGCTCTTGGGGTATCTTAGACCAGGTGGTAAAATCAATTATATTTTTTGGTAAAATAACTCCAGGTTTTGGTGCATTGAAGTAGAACTCTTCTAGTTACAAATGCAAATGACAATTTTGAGGAAAGTGTCATATGTTTACAAATGGGGGGTGCCGCCCCCGAATGGGGGAACTTAGACCACCTAATATCGCCGTGAAGGGGTAATATTGACCGGCTTGGAAATTAAGGTTAAATTACCATACATAAGACTCTGTAGAGTCTGAAACATAAAGAAAAAACATTAATAGGTTTATCAAACGTGAAATATATTTTATATGGTAATTTTAACTTAATTTCCAAGCCGGTCTATGTTACCTCGTCAGGGCTGACATTAGGTGGTCTAAGTTCCCCCATTGGGGGGCGGTGCCCCCCATTTGCAAACTATGACACTTTCCTCTAATTTGTCATTTGCATATGTAACTAGAAGAGTTCTACTACAATGCACCAAAACCTTGAGTTATTTTACTGAAAAATAAAAAATTGATGGGGGTTCTATGACAGGCATTAAATAATAGCTCTTTTTCGTGGGTCACATATATCATTTTTTAACCTATTAGATATGCATAATTTTTTATCTTTTTTATTGTGTTACGTAGCCTCAATATTAGGCCTTTAATGCCCATTAACAAAATTTTTCTATGCCAAACAATTTTTGAGTTATAGGTGTTTTTGTTAAAAAAACTAAGTGATCTAAGTTACCCCGGGAGTCTAAGTTATCCCATTTTACGGTAGTGCTCTTGTGCCTAAATAATGGAAGTAATTTATTGTTTATGCATTATGTTGTTTGGGTTGTCTCATGACTTACTGACTAGACTGACTTGAGTCCAGGTTATTGAACTGTAATAGAATGAATATTATCAGTATGTATGTACACAAAGTTCCGATCATCAGTATCTTATTTAATTGTATGTGTATATCATGAATTATGATCTATGTGGCTATGACAAGTGTAATGCCCCCACAGAAGCAGACCTGAGGAGCTGAGCAGCACCACCACTGAATACTTCGTCGACTACGGACCTGTCACCCACACCTCCCCCACACACCCAGTGAGTCCTGTCTCTACACTTGTGTGAACTGTATATATAATATGTACATGTATAGTATGTGTGTTGTGTCTCACACCTTGCTTCACACCCCGAGTCCTGCCTATACACTTGTGTGGAATATACGTACATGTATACGTATGTGTTTATGAGTCGTACCATCACGCCCACACTAGTGGGAACTACACATACATGTACAGTGTGTTGTGTAATGATACTGTCTATCTACCTCATCCAACTACCGCGACGGCTTGCTGCTAGGTTGGTAGAATTCTCCTTGACTTTTCCTTCGGAATTTATACAAAGTGGAGCATAATTTATTGTCTGACCAAGCTGACTAGGACCAAACTTTTGAAGGTTACACGTCAGAAGGCAAAACGTGGGTGCCACAGGCTTCTTTGCCTGACCACCTATTTCAGGTAGAATTTTCGTGCCTATTAACATTGCTAACGGGAATTGGAGAATCGTTTGGTAATTAAACCTGTTCTTGGCTGATCACCGTATCATCATATTTACTCTGAATCGATTTATGCTTTTGTATCGTCATTCGCGGACGATACATAAGTGCTGATGAGGATTACAGAGGAACTGGCCTACGTGAGGCCAATATCGGAATGCAGCACCGTTTCGTGACATTAGACGGCACAGAAATTGAGAAGCCACATGTTTGTGATCTCGGAGTGTTGATGAGTATCGAAACCATTTTCCATGATCACATGTCGAGTGAAAAAAGATGGAGTGAATATTGCAGACAGTTTGAATAAGAGTAGCGGCGCCAATTATTACATTCATCAGAGCACTGATGCTACTCATTCTGTAGTACTTCTGCTAACTCAGTGTGCTGCTCAAGACAAGCGCGGTGCGGCAATATTGGAGGCAGTTTACGGACTGTCACGCCAACAATCTAACATAAGCTGGAGCTAACTCGAGAGAGTGGCTGACGCACCCTGCACTGCATTAATTAGAAATGAGAAATACTTTTTTCTGTACTCTTGTAAGGTCCCTAATTATGAAAGTGACAATCAGGTAGTGACCTATCCCAATCAGAGCAGAGTGGAAACCATGCGCATACCCTGTCAAACAACCAAGATGTGACTGGAGTTCAGATTTTTCAAGAGGGATCTCTTTTCCTTTCTTAATCGAGTCTTTGCAATGCTTTACTGTTTGAGCCGAGACGATAGGAGGTCAGTTGTGAGCACAATCTTGGAACTTCTGTCTCCGCCTCACTACTATTAACAAGATAAGGCCACGTCATCTTGCATCAGTTTGTCCTAAGGAGGGAAGAAGCACGGTAGTCACCTCCGGTGGCTGAGATAACCGACTAGTCAAGGGCTAGGAGGCGGCAACTTACGACGAAGGTCGTGGACGCAGCTGTCCAAAATTTCTCATAAGCCTTTAAAAAACACGAATCGGTATTGTTGACTTGAAGAAATATGGATCGCCATTGTTGACTTAACACCGAGGGTCATCAGAGGTGAATCGCTGGCCGGGATGATACACACTTTGAAAAATTAATAGTTAAAATATTAGAAAAAATAGAAGAGCTCATGTAGTGGCTTGTGTAGTAATTGTATAGGTAGCAGGCTGTTGACTAGTTAGTAAAATGAACGTTAATGAGGAAGGCTAGGTAATAAAATTTATTAGCGAGCATGTCTCCAATAACATGGTTGTTTGGGCAGGATGAAGAGGCAACGTACGAGGAGGTCGTGAGCTCCTCAACCGACAACCCTGGTGGCAGCGACACTCGCCTCGTCACTCGCACCCACACCAACCACATCACCCAGAAGGTGTGTTGCTATGTGTTGCGTTGAAGACACCAACCACACCCTCTGTTCACCACACCCCACCACTTCCCACAACCACACTTTCAGTTCACCACACCCCACCACTTCCTACAACTGCACTTTCAGTTCACCACACTCCACCACTTCCCACAACCGCACTTTCAGTTCACCACACTCCACCACTTCCCACAACCGCACTTTCAGTTCACCACACCCCACCACTTCCCACAACCACACTTTCAGTTCACCACACTCCACCACTTCCCACAACCGCACTTTCAGTTCACCACATTCCACCACTTCCCACAACCGCACTTTCAGTTCGCCACACTACACCACTTCCCACAACCACACTTTCAGTTCACCACACTCCACCACTTCCCACAACTGCACCTTCAGTTCACCACACTCCACCACTTCCCACAATCGCACCTTCTGTTCACCACACTCCATGAACATTTTTGTATTGAATTTTTAAATGCATTACTAAGACATTTACAGGGTACGCGATGTTTACGGCAACGCATGTTTTTGTTATTTCTCAATGAAACAAACAGGAGCATTGTTTTTTTATTGGATGAGCTAGTAGCCAAGAATTACCTAAACAATTCTCTGACATATTTATTCAATATGACCACCCTTATTTTTAATGACGGCCTCCAATCTACGCGGGTAAGCTTCACAGGAGACATTCAGCATTTTTTGAGGGATCAAGTCCCATTCTCGTGTCAATTTAGACTTCAAACTATCCAAAGAATCATGAGGTGTTCTGCAGACCCTACTCTCTAAAACAGCCCACACAGAAAAGCCGAGAGGATTCAAATCAGGGCTTCTTGAGGGCCATTCATTTTTGCTAATGAACGCTGGGATGTGCCCCTAATCCAGTTTTGGGTAATGTTTGAGCCATGTGATGGGGCAGAGTCTCGTTGAAAACTCCATGATGAGCCGTTGAAGTGTTTACGGGCCGAAGGTAACAACACAGCTTCCAAAATGTTCGAAATGTATCGCTGACTGTTCAATTTCACTCTTGAGGGGACAAAAACGAGTGGGGACCTCCCAGTGGCGGTTACCGCGGCCCAAACCATCACGGACATAGGATTTTGACGTCGTGTTGCTGTTCTGGTTGCCACAGATCCATCCCGACTCCAAACTCCATCATTTTGACGGTTAACGCTTTGTTCAATGTCAAATTTTTTCTCGTCACTGAACACCAAGTTGGGCAGTGTGCCATCCTCAATGAGACCCAGAATGTGCTGGCATCTTTCGAGCCTCATTCGTTCATGACGGTTTGTTAGTTCATGCCTTGTTTGCATCTTGTAAGGGGAGGTTTTGAGGTCATCTTTGAGGACTCTACGCATTGATGTCTGACTGACTCCTGCCTCTGCAGCCAATTTTGCAGCTGAGCGACGAGGGTTCCTCCTCAACTTCTCCCTCGTGTTTTTCACCAATTGTTTTTTCGGACACTTCGTTTCCTTCCTTGACCAGGTCGATTGCACGTTTCACCAGTTTCTTTGAATTTTTTAACCACCTTCCACACAGTTTCACGACGAATTTGGAGCTTTTTTTGCAATGACTAAATTACTATCTCCCTTTTCATGAAGGGTTACAATTGCATTTCTGTCTACTGCCATAATTAATAGCAAATTTTGACAACTTAGACTTCTGCAATATAAAATAGATGTATTAATAGATGATATTAAGCTTCACTATAAATGAAAAGTCTCCTAGAAACCAATTTATTTTTATATAGCAAACATCCGTTGCCATATATGGCGGACCCTGTAGAGCTGGAGGCGGGCTCTAGTCTAGTTTAGAGCATTCAGATGCTTTGACTTTTAGGCACTAAGAATGCAATGTTGTTAGCGATTGTATGCTCGGTCGTGCTGACGCTGCTGTGCTGATGCTGTCGTGCTAACGCTGCCGTGCTACTCCTTACGTGCAGATATCGACGACGACGCGCGTTATCAGGGAGGTGCAGCACGTCGCTCCTGACGGCAGCGTGCTGACTTGCGCCCCCCTCAGCATGGACCCCTACAGGGGGCACTCCCCCTCTGCGCCCTCTGGTGAGTGCTGACCTAAGCCCTCCCTCAGCGGAAGCTGCGGCTGTGTAAATTTTGTCCTAGAATCATAGTACGGTGAAAACCTCTTTAGGTCAGTCTCGTGTTCTTGTGGACCGTTAGGGTTCATGTTGATTCATAATGTTAATGATAGAAATTGTGTTCAGTCGCGGCTTCTATACATTATTTTGGGTGAGATTATTGATTTAAAGTTATAATCCCTATTTCAGGCGGCAACCACAGCGCCCCCTACGAGCCCTACGACGTGGCCCCTGCAGACGCCTTCCCCGCCTACGCCTATGAGGCCTACCCCAACTGTGGGTGTCGTGATGGGTGATGGGTGTGATACACGTACCCCAACTGTGGGTGTCGTGATGGGTGTCGTACCCCAACTGTGGGTGTCAGGATGGGTGACGGGTGTGATGCTCGTACCCCAACTGTGGTGTAGTGATGGGTGATGGGTGTGATGCTCGTACCCCAACTGTGGTGTAGTGGTGGGTGTGATGCACGTACCCCAACTGTGGGTGTGGTAATGGATGTTGGGTGTGATGTGTGACCACAGCTGTGGCTGTAGTGATGGGTGATAACTACCCAAGGGAGTGATGGACTGTCGTGTGACAAAACGGATATTCTCACAGCATCACGTCCATGACTCAATTTGTGTAGAGTGTTGCTTCTTCCTTCACTTGTTCTTATGTATTTTATGCCTGATATTGGTGACAACTGGCCGCCACAGCTATGGTGCTTACCGTCATGTGAGTCATGAGATCATATGCACCTCATCATTGTCTTGACGTTGTTACCGTGTTGACGTCCGTACCGTGTTTACGTTGGCACATTATCGACGTTGGTACCGTGTTGACGTTGGTACCATGTTGACGTTGGTACCGTGTTGATGTTGGTACCGTGTTGACGTTGGTACCGTCTTGACGTTGGTACCGTGTTGACGTTGGCACATTATTGACGTTGGTACCGTGTTGACGTTATTAACGTGTTTATCTTGGTGATATTTTCAGGTGGCTACCCCAGCGGTTACCCCGAACTGGACCACTCCTTGGCAGCTGCGGAGCGCGACAAGTTCCAGCCATCCCCCGCCCACCATCCCGCCCTTGACAGATATGCAGGCCAGCCCCAGCCTGCACAAGGTAGGCCGCTGCTCCTGAATAATAAATAGCTCAGCCCCAGCGTTGAGAAGAGGGCAACCTAAGTAGCTCCCTCTGCCCTAGAGCTGGGGGTGATTTCTTACTAACCACTCCCTTCCCCGTGCCAGAGCAGATCTGTGCTAATCTCTTCCTCTCAGTGCAATGGCTATACTCAATTAAGCTTTACCCTTTGGTGCACGACTTAACCCCTTGGTGCAGTGTCATCACTTTATTAATCTAACCCATCCCATACAGTGGTGTGGCACAGCCCAACTAACCTCTAACTTCCTCCCCAGTGCGGTGGCGTGACCCAGACCTGCACGAAGTTATCGACTTCCTCAGCAACCCCAACAATGTGGTAAAGGCCAATGCGGCGGCGTACCTACAGCACCTCTGCTACATGCACGACGCCACCAAGCAGAAGGCCAGGATCCTAGGCGGCCTACCGCCCTTGGTCAGCCTGCTCTCCCACGACCTGCCTGACCTGCACCGCAACGCTTGCGGCGCCTTAAGGTATTAATATCCCATGCTATGTTCCTGTGCACATTTGTAGGAACTCTTTTGTTTTAGAGGGTGGATACTTGAACTGGTGCAGTGGCCACAGTTTCAAAACTTGCTTCCACGTGATGGCCTAGGTACAACTAGGGCCAATGTGCTCATAGCGTCTTAACACGTTGACTACGATTGCTTCATCTTGTACTATTATTTCGTTTTTTTTGTACTGTTTTTAAACAGGGTTGCCAGACGGTCATTTTTTCCGGACAAATTCCGTGATTTAGTTTTTCTCAATTGCGTTGGCCGGCTAAAATTTATGATAGGGATACTTCCTAATTAAATTTTAAATACTGCAAAAAGAAAATAAATGGAATTTTTATCGCGGAACCTACAAATAAACTGGGTTATATATATTGAGTTATCGGCCTTTTTTGTTCTCGGATTTGGCCGATTTTAGGCAACCTGAATTATGTACCACTACGTCCTGGAGAAATACATTTCGTGGTACGCATATGTACTACTTCGGAGTCAACGTGTTAAGTATATGTCGCGTCTTAGGTACACGGAGGGGCCAATTTCTCGTCTTTGATTGGTGGGTTCAGCTTGAAAAGCCGGCAGTGATTGGATGGTGGAGTTTGAATTGTTCATGATAACACGGCCCCAAGCAGCGTGTTCTATTAAATATTTATTTGTACGTGCATTGTGGATCTTTTCTTGCTGGAGCATGAAGACTAGACGGAGAGTACTATGGTAGTATTTTGCATTAGGACAGGCAAGCAATGCTCAGTAGCTGAGAGAAGGGGGAGAACTTGCTTGTATTGGAAATTAAGATTTCCAATACAAGCCATGTGCTTCTGTGTTTTTCACTTACTATTATCTGCCTTTTGTAGTACATAAGAACTACTGGCTACCAACTGCAATCCAGAAGCTTATACATGCTTCTCACAAGCACGTTTCACAGGCTGCACCACAAAATAAAATGCCCCTAATAGCGACATGCGCTCCACATTAGCATGTCCCTGACAGCAACATGCGCTCCTTAACATATCCCTGACTATGACTTGTACCCCACAAAAACATTTCCGTGACGACGACATGTAACCCACTAAAACATGTCCCTGATGATGACATGTACCCAACAGGAACCTATCGTACGGGCGCCAGAACGACGAGAACAAGCGGGCTATCAAGGACGCCGGTGGCATCCCTGCGCTTATCCGCCTCCTTAAGCGGACAATGGATAGCGAAGTGAAGGAGCTCGTGACGGGCATCCTGTGGAATCTGTCCTCCTGTGAGGTGAGTGACGACCTTGTGCTCCTGTGAGTATGTGGTGGCCCTGTCCTCCTGTAAAGTCGACGGCGTTCTTGTCCTCCTGTGACGTGAATAGCTGCACTGTTCTCCTGTGAGGTCAGTGGCGCTCTTCGTTCGAGATGTGCTCTGGGGGCCCCATTTTAGCTGCTTTTCGACTCATTGTTCTTCCTCTGGACTTCTTGGTTTTTCTCTGGCCCTGGCTCTGATGTCTTCTGGTTGAAGCGTTCCCTGGACTCTTTACCACCTGTTATATTGCCTACCTCATTGTTATACCTCATAGCAACAACGCTGCAATAGATGTAATGCCCTGTAGCAGCTATGCTTTAATAGCTATAATTCTTCATGGTCGCAGCACCCTATTATCTTTAACGCCCCCATAGCAGCAACGACCCCGGGTTGTAAACGCCCTCTTGTGTTGCAGGAGCTCAAGACGTGCATGCTTGACGAGGCAGTGCCGGCGCTGGTGACGCACGTGGTGGTGCCCGCTAGCGGCGTCCCCTGCAGCGTCGAGCGCGACCCCAACGCTGATGTCTGGTGGTCTACTGTCTTCAAGAATGCTTCGGGGGTCTTGAGGTCTGCATTGGATGGGGGTCTCTAGGGTCATGATGTCTGCATTGAACGGGGGTGTCTGGTGTCTTGAGGTTTGCATTGAACGGGGTGTCGGGTGTCTTGAGGTCTACAGTGAAAAGGGGTCTTGACATATGAATGGAGGTCTCGCTGGGTTTTGTGGTCTGTAGTGAACGGGGTCTCTGGTGTCTTAAGGTCTGCAGTGAACGTGGGTCTCAGGGATCTTGAGATCTGCATTTAACGGATGTCTCAGGGGTCTTGTGGTCTGCATTTAACGGGTACCTCGGGGGTCTTAAGTTCTGGTTTATAACACCCAATTCTTTTACAGGATTGGGGCATAAAGAGCAGGACTAAGTAATTGAGTTAATGACGGAGAGAACACACTCTCAGAGAAATGGAGGAGACTTTGTCCACATAACGATGAACGTTTTTAGCTCCTCTAGGTAATAATACCAACTCAGTTCCGCTCAGCAAATGGCGTGCCAGTGCTACGGGCAGCATAAAATTGATTCATGATACCAAGTATTCCAATCGAACCCTTTGAAATGTTTGCAATAACAAGAGATTTATTATTTCTTGCCTGCATTGGATCTTCTCACTGGATATTTAAAAACTCGTGAAATTTAAAAATATCTGCCTAGGGATTGCATGGAAATTCAGGATAAAAGGCTTGAATTGAAAAAAAGGATGAGGTAAAGAAACCATGCAGGTGGTTAGAAAGTGTGTTTTCAGATTGATGGAGTTATCGAAATGGGGGAGGCAGAATGACTAGGAAAACTAGTGTAACTGAAGAATTGCGTGCAGCCTTTAGATTTGTGGGAACTCTTTTGTTTTTGAGTGACTAAATAACGGAATATTTGATTTGTGCCCCAGGTACTGAATCAGATTATGAGTCTGCCTTGCCCCATTCTAACTCACGTCCTTCCTCTCCTACTCACGCCATACCTCTTCCCTTCTCACGCCCTTCCTCTCCCATTCTCATGCCTTTCCTCCACCGATCTCCCGCTCTTCCTCTCCCCTTCTCACGCCCTTCTTCCCCCAGAAATGTGAGCTCTGCGGGTGCCCACGCTCGGTCGCGCCTGCGTGGGAGCCCTGGTCTGGTGGAGGCGCTGCTGGCGGTGCTGCGGTCGGCGATGCACGGCAACTCTCACGACCACAAGTGTGTCGAGAACTGTGTGTGTATCTTGCGCAACTTGTCCTACCGCTGCCAAGAGGAGGATGACCCCAACTACGATAAGAACCTCCCTGCCGTGCAGCCCCGCGCCTCCGCCGCCCTTAAAGGTGAGCCTGAACCTCCCTGCCGTGCAGCCCCGCGCCTCCGCCGCCCCTAAAGGTGAGCCTGAACCTCCCTGCCGTGCAGCCCCGCTCCTCCGCCGCCCTTAAAGGTGAGCCGGAACCTCCCCGCCGTGCAGCCCCGCGTGAGTGATGCCAATATATTATAGAATACTAGGTAATAATATATACTGTAGGTGATTATGAATGCTTTAGCTGACTATAAATTCTGTATATGATGATAAATACTCTATTATGAATACATCAGTCAATGATAAATTCTGTAGGTGAGGATACTTGGTGTAGGTGATCATCACTTATGATACGGGATGCTACCTTCAACAATTAACACACGTCGAGAAATTGTGTGCTCGTTTATTTACATGCCGTGTATAACGTGTGCTTCACATCATGTGTCATTCTCCCCATGCTGCTCAGGAGACGAGGCGTCCGACAAATGTGGTGAGTGTAGCGTGTAGCTTTGGTGAGTGTAGCGTGTAGCTGTGGTGAGTGTAGCATGTAGCTGTGATGAGTGCAGTGTGTAGCTGTGGTGAGTGTAGCGAGTAGTTGTGGTGAGTGTAGCGTGTCATAATCCTCTTCATAATCCCCATTGCCAATGTTGTCACTCTCTTCATCATCCCATTATCACCCTGTCCATCGTCTCCATTGTTATGATTGTCTCATGTTTCATCTTCATTATTTTCACCATTAAATGATGCCGTGCAGGTGACAACCTTGGCTGCTTCGGAGGCAGTCGCAACAAGAAGACCCCCGACTCCAGCACCCCCACTGCACCTACCAGCGCCCCCGCGGGGGGCAGGCTGCACGGCGCCCCTCGCAGCGACCCCCCTAGGGGCATGGAGCTCCTCTGGCAGCCTGATCTGGTGAGCCTGTCAGCTGCTGGCGCTGAAAACACCTTCAGCTTCTTGTGCCGATAACAGTAACAATTTTATACCAAAATTGGGCTTAGTTATTAAGGGAAGCAAAGTCTCCTAAATTACCACTAGTGCCTCTAGCGTGTGCTAGATACGGACTGTGTATTCCCCCCTCTGACCATGCCCCCCCCGCAGGTGGTTCAGCCGTACCTGGCGCTGCTATCGGAGTGCAGCAACCCTGAGACGCTGGAAGCTGCCGCTGGGGCCATACAGAACCTGGCAGCGTGTTACTGGCAACCCAGCATTGAGGTCTGGTTGCTGGCAGATGCCTAACTCTTATGTATGTATGTCAACAATGGTGATCGTTCATCCTTTAATACCAGCATTCTAGCATTCATTTATGTGCGTTTGATTACGTGTATTCATGGTATGTGCGTTTGTTTACGTGTACAGCCAGTCAGCAACGTCTGGCGTAGTTGCCTGAGTAACATTTATGTGCGACTTTACTGCAGGAATAGCTACGTAGTGTACGATGTTGTATTTCGTACGTACGCAGTGCTTTTCAAGGAAATGCTCATGAACATATTGCATGTGAAGGATCTTATCTTTCAACAAGGAAGACATCAATCAGGAAATATCAAGGGACGAATGGTATCAACATTGTCATCTGACAGTAGCACGAGGTCTGCTCTGAGCAGCTGTGAGTCAGTCAGGCAGTCATGTCCCGCCAGCCCTACAGTGAGGTTCTACCTCAGCTGACTTCGCTCTACCAACTCTTAGCGATCTTGTGCCTTAAAATTAAAATTCATTAAAATACTAGAAACGTGGATGTGTACACTCGCATATCGTTACTTTCCACGCCACCGTGTCGGTTTCATGATTACACCCCTAACTGCCGCTCTCTGTAACGTTGCTAGCTGTGCTAGTGCTACCCTTTGTAATATGGTCCCTCTGGTGCTCAGGTGCGCGCGGCGGTGCGCAAGGAGAAGGGCTTGCCCATCCTGGTGGAGCTGTTGCGCATGGAGGTGGACCGCGTCGTGTGCGCCGTCGCCACCGCCCTCAGGAACCTGGCGCTCGACCAGCGCAACAAGGAGCTCATCGGTGGGTGGTGGTGGTGGGGTGATGGGAGGCGGGGGGTGGAGTGGTGGGAGGGCTGGTGTTGCCTGAAGTTTGGATGGGTGTCTGACCAGTCAAGGTGGGTGGTCGTGGGCATGAAGCTGTTAAACGACAGGGAAATGTCTCCTCTGACGCAACAAATATACCCACGTCTTAATCCCTCTCCCCATCCCCACAGGGAAGTACGCCATGCGGGACCTCGTGCAGAAGCTGCCGTCGGGCCAGGGCGGCCGGGCGGAGGCGGCGGCGTCGGACGAAACTGTGGCCGCGGTGCTGGCGACCCTCAACGAAGTCATCAAGAAGAGTACGGAGTTCTCTCGCGCCCTCCTGGAGTGTGACGGCGTCGAGCGCCTCGTGCACATCACCAAGTCCCGCACGCGATACTCCGCCAGGGTCGTCAAGTTCGCGTCCCAGGTGCGTCTCTTCAGCTCCTGTCGGCGTGTCAACGTCAAGGCGAGGTCATCAGACTAGACTTGCGGCATAGCTTACGTCATCCGTCTCGACGTAGTATCTTCAGGAAAAAAAGTTGTCGTACTGAAATAAGATTGTGTATTGATTGCCGAATATTATGGCTGAGTGTTGCAGGTATAAAATTGTGTATTGATTGCCGAATATGATGGCTGAGTGTTGCAGGTATATCGTTCATTGCCCACGTTGCAGGTGCTGTTCTCGATGTGGGCTCATCAGGAGCTGCGTGAAGTGTACAAGCGTGCGGGGTGGAAGGAGCAAGACTTTGTCAGCAGGAGCGTAGGCACCAGAGGGCGCGATTGTAAGTAACGTCAACACCTTTTCCTCAAGCAAATAAAGTTGGAACCACGTTTAGTCGGCGTAAATTCAACGTATAAACGTTTAATCAACGTTGCTTCAAAGTCGGCCTTGTGTGGGTCAAAATTGTCAGGAGTGTAGTTCACGTTACACTGACGCTCCTCGGTGTTACGTAGGAAGCTTTCAATCCGTCACTTTAGACAGTGACCTGGGGTACTCTATGCATAAAACAGAAATAAATAACAGACGTTTTTATAGAAGTATTTTTACGCGGGTAACAGAAACTGTGAAGGGCTTGTTTAGGATGAGCTGTTGATGCTTGCTGATGTCTCCGAAACCCGGCTCCACTCTAAACCGAATTCAAATTGAGGGCCCATACTTGGCAGTTGGGCCCCCGAGTCTTGTGCACGTACTGGTTTTGCCTTGTAGTTCATAGATCATTTCATTTTCTCAACTTCTTTCTAAAGTATTTTTTACTTCTTGCATAATTTCAACCATTAAGATTGTGATGACGATTATTGGTCGCAATGTATGTGCTTTGTTTGCGGTGTTACCGCCGTTATAGAGTGTTAGCGTTGATGCCGTTTTGGTATGTTCAGCGGGTGGGAGTGGCTCGGCGGCGGCGGCGGTGGATCTCCCACCAACAACACGCTAAGTCGCCCCATGGCCTCCCAGGGCGGGACACGATACGAAGACCGCACTCTGCACCGCAACAATCACGCCAGGCATTACCGGGTACGTGAGATGTGGTAGTGGCGAGGCGTGTGATATATGGTAGTGGTGGAGACATTTGGTAGGTTGCAGTAGACAACGCGTGTTGTATGTGGCGGTAAAGAGATCGTTGAATATGTGGCAGTGGCAGTGTTTGGTAGTGGCAGTGACGATGGTCCAAGCAACCAATATCTTATTCTTACCTTCATTCCTTTGTGCTCGATTACAATGTTGTTTCCTACGTGGCGCAGGAGGAGGTTCCTTTGGGGACGCTGGGCGGCGGAGGGGTGGGGGACCCCGACAACCTCTACGGCGCCTCCCACGGACAGGTAACGCTGGGTGACACCTGCCGTCACCACACTCAAGCCTCCACTCGACCAACACCACCACGAACAACACCTCTCCATGGCATGATTTCTTTACTATCAACATTTTCTTATTTCATATGACTGTGGTCTCGTAATGTTCTCGTCTAAAATGTAATTATGCTGATGTAATGATGAACTAATGTCGCCCTGTGACATGTAACAGGCGGCAATGACTGACACTAATGGATTATAGATTGCCTTTATTAACCGTATTGGTAGCAGGTGGCTTTACTAACCTTAATAAAAGTTTGTGACCTTAACTAACCACATTAACAAGATGGGATTCACTCTCTATTCGCAGCAACGTGCTTTTACTAACCCGCTCGGTGGCAGTTTAAATTCAATTCTCTATTGGTAGCAAGGAGCTTTTGGGACTTTGATGATGGCAGAGGCGACTTAGTGGTGGCAGGTGGTCCTTTTACTCAATGATTGTCAGGGTTCACCGGCAACTCTTAGGGTTGCAGAGGTGCTTTCAGCCAAAGGAGTAACAGGGAGTGATTTGAGCCCACGAAACAGTAAACGTTCGTCTTGCGTCTCAGAACTTTCACTTGATATTTCTTTTAGGTTTTTTGCATTTTTTATTTTGTTTTCACCTTCCTTTAACTTTCAATCTCGCTGTCTGTCGGTCACTACGGATGCTGCATGGCAGTTGGTGTAAAACCTTATACCTTGTGTAAAATCTTTTTACTAACAAGCTTGGTGATACGTTGGTAATTACAAGTACTTCATTCATCTCCATTGCATTTTCACGATGCTCAGAGGGAGAGCCGTTATATGGAGGCTATGAACCTCTTGTGGATTGGCTTCATTTAACCCACAATTGAAACAGTTATTCAGCTCCCACACCCAACCTTGATAGGTTTAAACTCCGGCAGGATTTGTGTGGGTTTTGAACCACTAAGGTGTGTTGATCCTTAGTTACAGCCAAGGGGTCGCGCTCATCACTAAGCGTCAAGGCTTCACTAAGTTCTATCGCTTCGCTAAGGGTTATTTAAGGATTCAATAAAGGTTGAGGTCCCACTAAGGCTTACGGTCCCACTAAGGGTTAAGGACTCCTTGTCTCTCGCAGGCTCGGCCGCCGGCTCCACACTAGCGTAGGCGACCCAACGCCTCAGCCTCCTCCCCTGCCTCAGGTTACTAACCCATTACTGAGTTGCTTGCGCACCCATCACCTTGTCTCTTCATCACCCTTCACTGTGTTGCTTTCTCACCCATTACCTTGTCTCTTCATCACCCTTTACTGTGTTGCTTGCTCATTACTGTGTTGCTTGCTCACCCATTACTCCATTACTGTGTTGCTCACCCATTATTGTGTTGATTGCTCAATACCGTGTTTTTCCTCTGTTTTCATTGGTCACTATTTGCTAAGTGGCTGCATAACCTTGTGTTGCACAGCCTTGTGTTTCACAGCCTTGTGTTGCACAGCCTTGTGTTGCACAGCCTTGTGTTGCACAGCCTTGTGTTGCACAGCCTTGTGTTGCACAGCCTTGTTTTGCACAGCCTTGTGTTGCACAGCCTCATGTTGCACAGCCTCATGTTGCACAGCCTCATGTTGCACAGCCTCATGTTGCACAGCCTTGTGTTGCACAGCCTTGTGTTGCACAGCCTTGTGTTACTCATATCATATTGAATTGGTAGACCTGAACTTGACAATTCCTTTATTACTTGGCCGATATTTTTGCATTAAGCTAGTAACCCTGCTATACATGACTAATCATCCCTAGAATTCCACTCTGCCGATGTACTATGTGTTGCTCACACATTAATGTGGAATTCTAGGCGAGTGTTGCTTGCTGTTGCTCCACTAAGCCCCATAAAATCTATCATCGTAGCCAGCAGCGTGTCTGAGACTCGTTCCCCTGCAGATGCCGTCACGTGAGCCTGTCTATGCGAAGGTCAACAGAGAGAAGAAACGCTCACAGCTCCCCGACGAAGATCTGTACGGGGGTCACAACCCCCACGATGAATGGGGGGCATACACCGCCCCCGACGCCCCCCTACCTAACCTGCCACTGCTCGACACGTCTATTGCATCTCACGCCTCTGCAGCTCTGCTACTTAACTCAGACACCCACTCTGCTACGGGAAACTATGAAACTCACTCAGCAGCTGGCAACTATGACACTCACTCTGCAACTGGCAACTATGATACACACTCTACAGCTGGCAACATTGGTGTTGCTACAGATGCTGCTCAGCAACAGGCTGGAGACTCTTGGGTTTAAGGATTTTTATGTATTAGATTCAACGAAGAAAATCCACTGAAATGCAGTCCCACTCAAGCATTGTATTAAGCAAATGCAGTTTCGCGTTTCACTCATGTTCTTTCACACCCAAACGTTGTTCGTCACAAGCATTGCTCTACTAAAGCGTTGTCACACTCGAATGCAGTCACACTCATGATCAGATGCTCTGGATCGCTCAAGCCCAGGTCTGAGGTGTGAAGAACTTTGCAAGAACCCTCTGGGTTGAGCGGCGTGGCTGCGTGAAGCTTGCGGTAGTTTGGGGCAATGAGGATATGCCCATGATTATTGGGGAGAGGATACTCAACCCGCCGTAATATTGAACTAGGATGTACCGACATTTTTTAGAGGTGACTGACAGCCGTGCTAAACTGTCGATCATGCATGTAAGCATGAGCTGTCTGCCATGCTAGACTGTCAGCAGCGCTTGTCATTATTACTTCATTCAAACTATTCATCTATTTGCCGAAGTTTCGTAGCCGTAGATTGTTGCCCATGTGTCAGTCGAGTCTTAGTTTCATCTATGAACAATTTGCGTTGAAGTGCTGCAAGATCCTGCCTCGTGTGCATGTATGTACGTGAGTGTGTGTACATACTAGGCGTGTGTTCTCTCGCCTCATCGCCCAATTGTGCTCACCTTGACCCTCTTTCCCCTGTACAATTTCCCTTCCCTTGGGCACAAACTCAACTCATTAACTAGCACCCCCGCAGTCTCACTCGCCCGCAAGTATTTTCTTAGGATTAATAGCGTTTATTTCCTGTTCATTTCTGATCATGTGGGTACTCGCAAACCTCCGGTGAGTCTTTCTGCGAATATGGGTGGCAGAATTATTCAGCTCGCAGTCGTATGTATATTTATGAGATAAAACTCGAAATCCTTTGTTAGGGACGCTTCGACGGAGCTAATCGAGAGATTAGTCTTGGAACCGGGAGAGCAGCTAATTTAGCTCGAAGATGCCACTGGTTGAGCCATGAAGAGCCGCTGTTTGGTCTTAACGACCCGTCATTTGTTTAGCGTGGCTGCTCAAGGTTTTTGGTGCGTGTAGTGTTTGGTCAGGAACGGAAGTTGCCGCTAAAAGTGTCCGGCGCTGTAATTTCATATCTCAAGTTCGTTGTAATTTCGTTTATTTTAGGCAGACTCAGTGTAGACTCAGTGGCACGCGGCTCTGCGTGAGCGCAAGTGTGGACGTGTGCAATGTAGCATTTTCTAGCAATAAAACTAGCCAGTAAGATGAAGTGAGCGCGCCACAATTATGGTGTCTCTTACTCTGAACCCTGCCACCCCAACATTCGCCCTGCCACCCCAACACTCGCCCTGCCGCCCCAACACTCACTCTGACACCCCAACACTCACCCTGCCACCCCAACACGCACCCTTACATGCGCCTCAGTTCCTCTCGATTGAGCGCCATTTCGCGTTGCAAAAAATTCCTCGTGTTGGAGAATGTATTTCTACTAAGCGGATGTCGCAAAATTAATTTAAGTGAACTTAATTTACATAGCAATTTCTATTGGAAAAACCTTTGCTTACGCGTTACGGTCCCATGTGCCGCCGAATTTTTATTAACATGACTCGAGTGATGTATGTGTTTTCCGTGACGAGCTCTCGTTGATGACTTCGATGACTTGTGAATGTAATCGCATGGGAGCAGAGCATGGCGTTTACTGACTTCCTCTCGCTGCTCCCCACATGTTTATGTGTTCCCCACTTCTCTGCTTCAGCTCCCCCCAACATGGAAGGGCCACCAAACGATCATTCCTTTGTCTATTTATTAAGAGAGGTGTTCTCGACGCCTTGCATGAGATGTCATCGCAAATTATGCTTGCTTGTAAACTAAGTCAGTGCTGGAGCGTTTCAAGATGTCACGACTGCCAGCAAGGTAGTTGTTGATGGCCAATTTTACTATTGAAGCCTGACTTGAATGTTGAAGCGACGGTGGAAGCCTTGTGTCAATGGAAGCGTTTGCTGGCATCTCGTTTTCTCTTGCTGTATTCTTTGTCTTGATCTTGAGTCCCTTTGAAGACTAATAAATGGTGTAGTGTTCGAGCCGTGTTCCACCCCCAATATTACCTAATGTAGATGTAAATATTAAGAATGATTAAGTTTCGTGGCTATAGTTTATATAATGGGCTTAATGTGTGCGCATTACAATTTGCCGAGGTTCAAGTGTAATTGTAGGCCTACTGTAGCATTCCCACCATAGGCCGACAGAGTTCCTCCTGTGCCGGCCAAATTTTACCTCAATGTTTATTCTTTTCTAATGCAATATAATCATCCAAAGCAAAGAATTGCCACCTCAGACCTTGCTTATTTTTGCTTCCTTGTCTGCCTCGAGAATTTCATGCGTTGAGGTTGACCATAACGCCGAGCCAGCAACGCAGCCAGTGGTCTGTTTTTTCCTGTAGAAATCAACTCGCATCCGTACCATTTGCTCCATCATTAGCCCCTTTTACACCTATTTTTATGATCGTTGTAAACTTCCCACCGCTGGACGAGCTACTTCTCCTGCTATACAGTTAATACCTGTAATATTCATCACTATACGATCACTCCCAAAATTGAGATGCCCAACTAGTCTTAAATTCGAGCCAACGGACAACTCTACTTGTGAATCATGTGAGAACGCAAAGTGGTGTGCAAAGGGGCTTGTTGAGCGATAACCACGATGTGATAGCGGAAACATAACTTTGATTGAAATAGAACTGTTTTCGTAAATTCTTAGTTAGGGCCATAGAAAACCGGTGGAGCTGTTCAATCAACTAACCAGGATTTAGATGACAGTTGTAATTACGAAATGAACTATAGGTTAGGACAAGAATCAATGAAGGCAATTTGGTTACACGTACAATTTCGTTGCCAGGTATTGATTGCGCAACTGGTTAGTGAAGTACACGCAAAATGTTGCGCATCAAATATGACTTGAACTCAACTAAATGTTTTAATTGAAATAATCGCAAAGCTAGGAACGGCGTCAGAGACATGGCTCGGCCTCTCGCAGCATCAGGTAAACGTAAAAGAGTGGAATCCTTCAGTGCGTCATCAATGGTAGTAATTATTTTCTTCTGTAGAAGAGAATTATTCTCTTCTGTAGAAGAGAATTATTCTCTTCTGTGTAGTAAATTTCTCTGTAGAAGTGCGTGGTGCATGGTTCGTCAAATGGCAACACGCCCGATTCGTGTCGCTGGAACAGTGAGCATTTAAGCGGCGCTCTTCCTCCAACCCTAACTAAAAAGGCCAAATGGTCCGGTGCAACTCGTTAGTAAGTTAGTATAATCTGTTATGAAACCAATTGAGGGAGAGTCACGTATAATTGAGGGACTGCTGAGTGCTGACGGTCACTTCTCTGTGACACTCTACTCTGTGTCAAGAAAAACGATCATAGTTTTAGACTATAAGGACATCGTGATCTGAAACTGTAACTAAAAATATTGGAAATGAGACAGACTCATAGCGGTTTCAGCGTTTATTAGGCCATAGGCTGTCGCCGGTTCTTAACATCACAGAACATTCTCAGCATTTTTGCGGTCTCGAACTCGCATCTCACTGCTACAATTCTCTGTGCTTAACCGCCCGGCCTCCTCGCCGATTCTGACCAGAAACTGGCGCACAGAGCTGGGATTGAACCCGAGCCTCTCTGCGCCAATCTTGGTACTCTGAACTTTAACCACTGGAACTTATCTGAACTACCTCCAGACTCATAATGACAACGCCATAAATATCTTTCATTTTTTCAATAATTAGACCACAAATAGCGAAATTATAATCTGCATCAATACCCATCATCACTTGATTGTCAGAACCTAAAGTTGATGGCATTTGATTATGACACAGATAAAAAATAATATTATAACCTAATATAGAGTACTTAGATAATTCCAGAATTAGAGGCACTGTATTAAGTTCATTATGAACAGTTTACGCACTGAAAAGTTTGAAAACAAATTAAGAAAAACTTTTGCGTTTACTTTTTGGATGGACCAGAATTTAATACACAGAACTAGACAATGATAAACTCGTTAGAAAGTTATTGTGAAATTCGTTAGTCCCGTGTTCGCGGATAGTTGGTTTCCTTCGATATTGAGTTGAAATTTAGTTTCAACTTCCTACTCAAGTTCCTGGTTTGCTTAGGTACTGTCGTACTGAAATAACTAAAGATTCTTTGAAATTCACTTTTATTCATTTATGTGCAATCTCGAAGGTTTGGTTTTATAATATAAACTTCAAAAAGTTTTATATTATGAAAAATCAACAGTCGAAAAATCAATCACCTCGGAAAGATACGATACGATCTTCATCATGTCACGACCATGCCATGCCCATGGCATGGTCGTTGCCTGGCAGCGGCATACCTAGAATAGAAGTGTCGGTTTAAGAGTTCAAGTTCAACCATAGACTCGTGGTCGTGACTCGTGAGTCATGAATGAGGACCGAAGAGGTATATTTTTGGTCAATATTTTGGCTACTTCCTTGCCTTACCTACGGCTAGCGGGCTAGGTACAGGCTAGGACGCTAGGTACTAGTAGGTAGTGACAGTAGTGAGGCTACAGCTGAAAGCAACAACACAGAATTTAAATGTATGATACAGCTCTATCTAACACTATTTACACTAACTGTAGGTATTGTTACAGCTCTAAAAAGACAAAAAAACAGAAAAAATCATGAAAAAAACATTGATTTTTGATTTTGTTATTAACTCGGGTACATTTTTGTCTGATGGCTGAAGGCAAATTGTTAGCTTGATCCAAAAAATATAGCTAGGCCTAAGCGAAGTTCAAGGTAGGTAAGAAACATTTCCAAACCTTGTCAAGTTGTCAAGTTGTCAAACAAATATAAGAGGGTAGGCCTAACTTGTTTATATATTAGCCTAGGTACTCGCTCACAATTTTCACCATGTTTTAGCCATCAACGGATCATTGGCCCATCAAGATCCATGCCCCATGGTCAGGAAGATGTGCCACTCAGTGCCAGGTGCACGGGAATTTATTTTGTCATTTTAACAACCTGCGTGGTGCGCCGTACTATGCTGGTAAAAAAATGCGCCGTGTGCCGTACTTTAGAAAGCTAAAATAGTTCTACTATTTTAGTTGACAATATACGCAAGTATATTGATTACGCGAGTCGAACTGACAATAATAAAATGAAAGACATGTCCGGGTTACTTCTGACTCTTCCGCTTGTCCGCCTTGTTGGATACAGAACGTACGGTAATTGTAAACTGCGGCTATTATACATACGAAATGTAAACAGACGGTGTTCAGTGTTGCCATATGACTTTGGAGAAAATTTCTTCTAAAATAAAGTTCTAGATTTCTCATTCACCAAATTTCCGTATCACAGCAATAGCTTAAAAAAAGTGAAAATGCGCGGGAAAATTCACCAAAAACATACATCATCCTGAGTGTGGATCAAGACTAATCACCTGCTGTATTTTTAACCCTTTGATCTCAGATACATTTATTTATGATTTACCATTGTCAATGCTATTTTTTCATAGTGGATTAGGGCTGAGATGTCCTATGAGTTTTGAAAGGGCTACCATAATATATTGATTTTTACCTAATATTTCAGGTATTTTATATCACTGTACCATAGTAACTAGAGACACAACAAAGAACCACTAATAGCAAGCAAGATGTCCTGAGATTTTGTTCATTGCTTATAGACTATAGAGATTAGGTTGCATGCCCTAAAATGGTGAGCAGCCGGGGGATTTGGTGTGCCGGGCTAGGTTTGACATCCCTGCTGCTGCTGCTCTACCTCCATCTTGCCACGGAGCTCAGCAACCTCCATACTGTGCTCAGACTTGCTGGTGAGTCTGACAAGTTTAAGACATGTTACTTATATTGAAAAATACATAATACTTTGGAGTCAGGTCACTGAGGTCAGTGCATCAAGTCAGTAAATATTTGAAGATCATTAACTGCTCATTAGCATCAAAATCTATACCCTTTGAAGATTTTACTGACACATTTTCCTTTTAATCCTTCTTGAAATGTATTTTTGGGAAGAAATCTTGAATGTAGAATTAATTATTTGGGAAAAAACCTCAATAATACTGGCAATATTTTGGGTCTAAAAGCCTCATCTTGTTTAGGCAATCTCTATGGCATTCTCTAAACTGTGGAGCATATAGTAGTGGAGCCTATAGTAGTGGAGCCTCGTGATTTGTATGTTACTGTTGAATTGAATTTATGAAAACTTCATTTCAGTAATATTACAGGGCTGGTCACTAGAGAATGATAAGAAACCCATTTAATTCCATATTTATTGCAGGAAATAAGGTTTGACTTTCATTGAAGTGCTTCTGTGGTTCATTTGAATGTTTGTTAACTACATGATTCATTTTTTTAACATAATTATTCATTAAACACATATTCAGCAGCATTTTTACTATGTATTATATATATGAGCAAACTTGCCATTTTGAATTGATATTATGTTTACCCATGCTATTTATTACTGATATAATGTGCCTCCTTGCCCTTGATACAAGTATTAAGCATCACCTTACCCCATATTGTTTCACTATGTACACATCAGTCATTTTGTTATTGATATTACGTGTTGCGTGCAGGTGCTCCGGTACACACAAGCTTTTTACATGGGTCTCTGGGTCTAGGTGGGTCAGGCCAGGTTGGCAGCAAGACCCTAGACCTTGAGGAGCTGGTGATCATCTACAACAGAGTTCCTAAGACAGGCTCCACGTCCCTTATAGGACTTGCTTATGACTTGTGCTCCATCAATGGCTTCAATGTCATCCACATCAACACGTCAAGGAATTCGCCCACACTCTCCTTGTCTGACCAGGTGCATTAGGAGTAGGCTTCATACATTAATAAATTACATCATCATGAGGATGTGGTACTGGTATATATATCAAGTCTATTTCATACGTTACATTTTAATGATGATGAAAGCACATATGTTTAGTCTGTATCAAATATCACCATCTCCCATCATTATGATGATGAGGAAGATCAAGTCTGCTTCATACATAATGGATTAATTCATTGGGCTGGATTCTTCTATCCTTAACCCTTTCACAGGTAAGTTACCATATATGATCACTTGAAATCGCGTCACAAAAAGCCTCACCACGGCTTCCTGTTTGTTTATGAGGCATCCTTATTATGCCTCAGTCAATCACTAATTATCTGACCATCATTCTATCTATAGCATCAGCAGCTGCAAAGTCCACAAATTGAAATATGAGCATTTAAATGAAGGTTTTGACTCGGACAATGGAACTGACACTCTTTCCGCATTTTCTTCAAAAGGTGGAAGTATCAATATTTATATTTATTTATTTTGGCAACTTGATTAAATTTAATTAAATTAAATTTTTATGTTTCTAATTTTTCATTTGCATAAACTGAAATTATAATTTTTAATTATAAAGAATTATACTTCTAATTATAAAGAAAAATTTTGTGTACTGATTGCATTTATTGAATTCTTCAATTGTGATTTAAACCTTCAATAGGCAAAATTTGCAAAAATTAATAGAAATAAATATATTGTATAATACTTCTTACTTTCTTGAAATGGTTTCTGAAATTTTAATTTCTGAATATTTCAATGCTTGCCCGCTAAAGGGTTAGACCAGGAAATGAGAAAATGTAAGCAGATGCTATTGATAGTCCTTCACGCCAACTGTATGGACAAACAATTTGTTTCCAGAGAAAACAAGTCTTACCTTCATGAGATTATGTTGTTGCGCAGTTAAACTATAGAATTTGTACATGCCACAAGCTGCATGTAAGTTATAATAAACTATTTTCATTCAAGCTTTAGACATACAATTGATGTACTTAATGTCCCCAGATGAAGTTTGTGTACAACGTCTCAAACTGGTCCGAGAAGAAGCCTGGCGTCTACCATGGCCATCTTGCCTACATCGACTTTGCTAGGTTAGAAGAACAGTGTAAATATTCCATGAATGCTCATAGAATGTTCGAGATGTGGAAAATTAATGTGAAGATGTAGAAGCATTCGTAAGATGTTTGCTCCAATTAATGGTGAACTTGATACTTCTTTAATTGAAGTGGGCGCCCTTACACAAAGAGTAAAGAGTGAGATTTTGTTCGTATAGCAATGCACTTAACCCCCTTATGCAGGGGGCCCATTATAAGTGCATAATATTAATGCTATTAAGGAGTGCTCCTAACACTACGTCTTTGCTCTGCTCATACTGTGGGTGAGGAAGTGTGTTATTATCTGGACAAAATTACCCATTTGCTTCTTTCAATGTAGCTGTTTGCATGAGCGCGTCCTGCGCGTTTTTTACTTTTATGTTATGAATACTCGAATGTTCGAATGCAACTTGTAGTTTGCTGTTCAGGCAATGCATGAATGGCCTTCATGGGTAACTCGAGTTGAATGCTTCCACCTCTGCGGGTGTCTCGGGTGCCCCAATGCCCCTCTTCTCTCCCCATGTTCAGGGTGTCACGGGTGCCCTAATGTCTCTCCTCTCTCAGGTTCGGGGTGTCACGTGTTCCCGTGTACATAAATGTGGTGCGGGCGCCGCTGGACCGCCTCGTGTCGTACTTTTACTTCCTGCGCTACGGCGACGACCTCAGACCCAACCTCGTCAGGAAGCGCCAGGGTGACAAGATGGTGGGTGACGGAGTGGTATGGGGACGGGGTGGTGGAGGTGACGGGTTGGGTGGGAAATGAGTTTTTATAAATCTCAAAAGGACATATAGAAATGTAACTACACAATGGGGCTTAAAAACTAAAATGATAAATGATATATAATAAAACATTCATGAAAATGAGTATACCACAGCGCTGCCCCACGCTAAGTGTAGTAATGCTGACAATAATCACAGCAGTGCTGCACTAACGCTCGGCATTTCAGACGCTGGACGAGTGCGTGCTGAAGCAGCACGTTGACTGCAGCGCCTCCAGGCTGTGGATCCAAGTACCCTTCTTCTGCGGTCAGCACGCCGAGTGCTGGTGGGTGCAGGGTTGCAGGTTGCTGGTGGTTGCCGGGTAACATCACCCTACTTCCACCCCTTAGGGTGCCGGGGTCGGAGTGGGCGCTGCAGCAGGCTAAGCACAACCTGGTTGCCCACTACCTGCTGGTGGGCATCACGGAGGAGATGGAGAGCTTCGTCGCCCTCCTCGAGGGCGCTCTGCCGCGGGTCTTCCACGGCGCTCTCCAGCTGTATCAGCGAGGTGAGCTGGCAGAGCATGCAGTTTGTCCTGGCACTCTGACTACCATCAGTGACACTTCGGGTTTAGTTTTACATTTCATTATAATTGCCACGTTCCAACGAAAAATATTCATGCATTATCCGAGTGTACAATAGCGACTGCTGATCATAGCTAGCCACGGCTCATCCAGCAGCTCAAGGGTCTTGACGTCGTGTCCATTACTCGGACACTTGACACGTGTTCATAATTACCGCCCGTGTTGACGACGGACACTTGACACGTGTTCATAATTACCGCCCGTGTTGACGACGGACACTTGGCACGTGTTCATAATTACATTTGCTGCATAAAAAGACGAAGAAGTGATTCTAGAAATCCTGAATATAAAATACCCTGAAATTTAATAATTAAATATCATGTCGATTTGGAAACAACAATAGCTTGTTGTTTACAAAATAAACTTAAGAACGCGCACCAAATGTAAATATTATAAGATCCAAAGCTTTTATAATATTTAAGACTGATTTCTCTAAGATTAGAAGCTGATGTTCGTTGTTGACGCCATAACGATAGCTTGGCCCCGCAGGTAACAAGTCTCACCTCCGCCGCACCGTCAGGAAGGTGATGCCCTCTGAGGACACTATCGCCAGGCTGCAGAACACCAAGGTGCTGGTGATTTGATTGTCTGTGATGCAATATTGTTTGTGTGTGGTGTGTTGTTATTTGTCTTGAAATGCGTTATTGTGTGTGTGCTGTGTTAGGTATTTCTTGTGTAATTGTTTGTGTGGCGTGTTATCTCTTGTGTTGTGATGTATTAATATTTGTGTAGTGTGTTATTTCTTGTGTTATTGTATCTGTGGTGTGTTATTATTTGTGTTGTGGTGTATTATTGTGCGTGTAGAGTGTTATTGTGTCTGTGGTGTGTTATTGCTCGTGTTTATGTGTTATTTCTCGTATTGTGGTGTGTTGTTTTTCTCCTGTGTTGTGCTCTGTGTGGAGTTGATCGTTTTCTCGTGTGTAATTAAGATTTTAAACATAAGCGAGTTTAATAAACTATTAGAAGAAAAGTTCAATAAACTGTTTTAAGTGTCCGATCTTCATGATTTAATCCATTGACATTGAGCCGGCATTCGACTGACATGACAAAGAGAGTTATAGACGCATTTAAGGTTGAATAAGTGAGCACAGTTGCCTAGAATTAATTTATATATTGTCTTGCCTGGAGCTGCAAGCGTCCGTCCCTGACAGTAGTGAAGTACAGGTTCTAATAACGTTTAGTTTGCTTGTAGCAGCTCCGGCCGGTGACAGTATTCGGTGCGAAATAATATGCTGCATGCTGTGGCATGTAATATCAACGTCCCACTGCTCAGGTGTGGCGGCTGGAGAACGACTTCTACCACTTCGCGGCCGAACAGTTCCACTTCACAGCTCGCAAGGGCCTAACGCTCGACGCCGGCCGTCTCGCCCTCAAGCGCAATAACTTCAACTACGAGAAGATCAAACCCAAGCCAAACTGACGTCCCACACTGTGCGCGGCTTGTCAAAATGTGGCATACCATGACACTGTGGTGCGGCTTGTGGAAATGTTGCGCACCAAGCCACAGTGGGTCGCAGCTTGTCGCAATTTGGGGCAGCTTGTCACAAAATGGCGCAGCTTTTCGCATTGAGGCGAATTTTATCGCAGTGCAATTTACTTGCCACAAGTCACATGCCACTATGTCGCAAAATGTCGCACTATGCGGATATTTCGAACGCTACGTCACCACATCCCTTCCGCCTCCTGCCTTCCCTAGTACTTAGCTCGCCTCATTATCTCGATCAATTCCCATTTCGCTCTTTTCTCTTCTTTTCCTTATCACCTCTCTTTCCCTGCATCACTTAACTTTTCTCGTCTATTAAATTTCCTTCATCACTCCTCTGTTTTTCTTATCCCTTATCTTCTACCACTTCACTTACCTTTTTCCTCATCACATAACTTTCTTCTCATCACTTCCCTTTTCTCTCATCACTATTTGTTTCCCTCAGCAATTTCACATACCCTTGGCAATTTCCTTTCCTATCATCACTTTTTATCACTCCCTCTCATCCTTTAGCTTTAAGCTGCAGTTCACCAAAGAATCTTGCCTTCTGTTGACTATTCTTAGCGAGGAAACACGGTATGTGTGCATCCACTGTCTGTTGATCCTACCCATTATTGGGCTCAGTGTCTAGCACAGAACAATCTTAAGTAGGTAGCATTATGGAAGGTCAAGTCCATGTAAACTATTTACCTTAGCTAGCAAGAAACCATGGCAATCTCTTTAACTTGTATGATGTTTAGAGCTTTAATTAGCATGCGGGTAGCCTGTTCAATTGCTGTTATAGCAAAGAGTTCGATAATCTCATTTCGTGTTCAGTGTGGTCCTCCCCCCCCCCTACTTAAAGCGTTTTTCCACGCTTTAGGGTTGTTTTCTGTACTCTTTAAGGTCTTTTTCTCTGTGCTTAATAATCGTTTCCTCCGCGCTTTAGGATTGTCAGTGCAGTTAAAAATTGCTTTTTCTTCGTTGCAGGTCAGTGTTTCTATGAGTTTCATGGTCATTTATTCTAATTTTGAAAAACGCGTTCAGTGCATTGAGATAGGCTTTCTCGACAATTTAGAGGCCTTTTTTTGCTTTCGATGCGGCTTTTTGTACGGTTTCTGAACGTTTTCTATACGCTAAGTGAATGTTTTCAACATTTGTTTATCTCAATGTTTCATCATAGCTATTTGGAATCTGTCATAGTCCTCCCTAAATTCGAATATTCTTGCTGAATTTTCCATAGTTCTTCATATTCCTGAAGTTCAAATGCTGTTTATTTGTTGTAATATTTTATGTTGGTTTTAGAATTGTTTGTTGTGTGTTTAAAATGCTTATTAGCCATGCCGCGCCCACCCCACGGATGCTTTCTAACTTTTTTGAACCTTTTTGACTTTGATGTTTTATAATAGCTTTTTATATTCTGTTTTACTGTTTCTGTTATTTGTTTGAGCGTTTTCTGATCGTTTTAAGTTTTCTGTTTGCCTTGTGATTGTCTTCTGTGTTTTATTGTGTTTTTTGCTGGTCTTCTGTTAATATTCGCCCTATTTCCCGTGATATTTACCTCGTCTTCTCCTGATATTTGCCCGGCATTGATATTTCACCTGCGTTGTGTAGGGGGCGCGGTGTTGGGGGTAACGCTATGTTGTAACGGCGCCACCCTCCTCCCAATGGTCGCCGTCCATCATGTGTCCACGTATTACCTTATTAGTGAACATCATAATCGTGTTACTAATAGCCAGATGACGCTGGCTTTATAAACCGGGAGATTTCAGGAAATCTCTTCATTAGTTGATACGAATAGTTTAAATTAAACCATAATTGTTTAATCATGTAAATTTATTTTTAAGGTATTGACTGTTGGTAAATGCGATGTATTTGTTTCTACCCTTTAGCTATTAAGTCTTTAATGCTGCAGGATTGACCTGGAGCGGCATCGCTGGCTGCATTCCATGAAGTTAGTGACTGATAGTTCAGCACGAGCAGTTTAAGTGGTGTTGTAGGGGCACTAGTATCGAGCTATTAGTACTGATAGTAACGTTAGTTGTAGTGCCACTAGTGGCAGCGCTGCAACACCACGATGTGTTGTGGCATTCGCACGCTGGTCCTGCCTGTTCCTCACCTAGTACGGAACAGCAGAAGTCACATGGTGTGAAGGTGTTTAAATCTTCATTGGGATCCATGAAGCGACGGAAGTGGGGCTCTCACGATCCATTAACTTTTATCATGAGTGGGTGGGTATGATGCTCGTTGTCTTTACTATACGAAGAAAACCCTTGCGGGTTCAAGTTTCTGCTCCTCGTCTCCTTGCTGAGCTTGTTGGTGGCGAAGAGAGTTTATGTCTCCATGAAAACTAAGCTGAAGTTTGCTTGCATGAAGTCAGCATGATGCCTTCTTTAGGCCTTAATCCTGCCTTGCGCTCCACTGCAGGTAATCGTCGTATGGTCCCACTCCTGCGACAATTGCGCCTTCAGATCTGTGCGCATTTTGGTGAGAATTACAAGCATTCGATATCTGAAGAATGTGTATAGTGTTTTTCACCTGTGTAATTGTGTATGAATTAAATGTAGAGTGTGTGTACCAGCCGTATTGCGTGTGTGAATGAGCTGTGTAATGCATGTGGATGGGATCTAGCGTGTGTATAATATGTATAACGTACGTGGATCAATAGTTTAGTGTATTTGCATCGGCTGTGTAGTGTAGTGTGTGGATGAGCCAGGTGCGTATATGTATCAGCTGTGTATACCTGCCATGTTTTAATTAGCGAGGCAATCCTACAGCACCTATAGTAATTTTATTTGCTATTAAAAGTTAAATTTATTATTTGAAAGTATTTCTTTCCTTGGATTACATGCGTAAGGTGCGTGTATACGGGGACAGTAGTGGCGGCCAGTACAACTTTCATATACTAACCGTCATTATTTACCGTGCTATTGCCTCGAGGGCTCCTGGCCACGGAAGGCCAGTCATGCTAATACACGAGGCTAGTAGCATGATAATTAGTCGCACTTAGTATTTAAAAGTTGCACTGGCCGACACTACTGACCACGTGGACAAGAACCTCACGCCATAGGAATCTAACGTCCTGCGTGGAAATATGGGCGTATGGCATGGTTTAACTAGTATCAGGTTGACCATCGGGCAGGGTGGCCCAGTGGTTAAAGTTCAGAGTACCAAGATTGGCGCAGGGAGGCGCGGGTTCGATCCCAGCTCTGTGCGCCAGTTTCTGGTCAGAATCGGCGAGGAGGCCGGGCGGTTAAGCACAGCAGAATTGTAGCAGTGCGTTGTGTGTTCGAGACCGCAACAAGCTGTGAACGTTCTGCGATGTTAAGAATCGGCAACAGGCCTAAACGCTAAAACCGCTATTATGAGAAGCTAATTTTTGCGGATGTAGTTTGTTGTTCGCCTGTAACGTCACTGATCTCAGTGATGTCACAGGCATTAACCATTTAGTGAAATGCGATCAAACCAGTCGACCAATCCGTCATGGGAATGACGGGATTGTTTACGTTTCTCGATCTCAGTGACGTAACAAGAAAGCTGAACTGAAAGACGGAAATTCTCCTGGGTCAACCTTTCATAGTTCATCCATGGGCGTATGAAACTAAAAATTGTAGGGAGGAAACGGTCTCGTAATTCGTCAACAATTCCAGACTTGCTTATTTGATCATGCGTCCTCCACATCAGGCTAGAGTGCGTAGGACATCGTAACGCCCCACACATTCTCGATCGCATATGTCGCGATATTAACTCTGCTGCAGGAAGTTTGCGCCCCTGAACAGAAGAGTATTCTGACATAAATCCCTTTCATTATTCCTACATACCATATTTTCTGAGCTGTTTCTTCGACATTTTATTGAATATAGGACAAGCCTTCTGAAGAATGATTAACGATTATCGAGCTCCATAATTAAACTTGAAGCCTATCAGCCTTGAAGTGTCTATAACCCCACGGGCCTAGTAAAACTCTAGTCGCTATTCAATTCAATGTCAGTTTTAAGAAGATATTTTTTGTGGCAGTCATTAGATATCATGTGAACCCAGGCACAGAAAAGTTCAAGGATAGGCGACAGATCAAACTTAGCCTATTCTTCAATACCGATACTGCCATGCTAGTATTTGTTGATATTTAGGCCTTTGGCATGTTATAATTCGACACAAATTGCCCTGTAAGCTCACTTCAGTTCAACATCTCTGTGTCCTAATTGAAGTGAACATTCAACAGTGGAAGACATAGAATTTCAGTCTAATGTGTTCATGTAACGTACATGTATGAGCTGGTGGGCCAAAAGTTGTTTCTATTAAGATCACGACGTTAGGTGGTCTTAATTTTTTTTTGCGATTTTGCGATTATCTCTTTAATATTCATTTTTGATTCAATTTTAATTTGCAATGCGTCCGAACTTCTCATAGCACATGCATGCAAGAAAATTACTTGAAAATTTCTTTTATTGAAGTGTCTAGATCTTTTGGCCGTTTTAATTTATAGAATTATTTCTTCTCTGAAATAAACTTACTCGTGGACCTATATCTTTTCAATAATGTCATTTGTGCGCTCCATAAAATAACAACTGATGACAAATAAGTTGTCATGGCGTTAAATTCTGATTGACACGCAATAGATACACTAGAAATTAATTGACTTCAGCATATTATTTTTTTATTCGTGAGCACTACATTCTTCCGCCTCACAGAAAGTGAAATCTCCGAAAGTGAAAAATGGAATGTAGACTGAAAATCGTGAGACGAAACGTGCCGTGCTCATCTTCAGTCGCTTGTAAACAGCGTTGCAAAGTGGAGTGCTTGTGTTGTGAGCGAGTCCCGCTGTGACTTTTCTAAGCTAACTGTCACCGTTTACGCAATCTGCCTGTTGTCTGTCGGAAAAAGAATCGGTTCACCAGACTTGGAAGTTTTGTCAACCGTATGGGAGGTGAGATGCCATAGGTTATTCAACTTCCTTTGCTATGCTGCTGATTAATGCCTCTTTTCTTTACTGCAAAATGGATTGATAAGGCATAAGCGTCAGGCTGTCGGCAGCCTGCTGACTGCTGAGAGCTTTCATCCCTCTTGTGTTTTGTTTCCTTACAATTTCGTAATATTGTTAATTTGCTGCAAAGTCATGATAATTGGTCAATTTCTATTAGTTAAAAAAACTGCAATTTTAAAGTTCATTTGCAATTCATTGTGGCAATGGAGAAAAATTTTTGTTGCTCTTCCTCAAGTTCATTTTTGAGTTAGTAGCTATAACTATAAGTTATGAGTATACCTAAGTAGCCTACTCATTAAGTAGACTAACGAGTAACTTTGATATCACCATAGTACCATTTTAGCAATATCACACGTAAGAAATTGATTAAAATATTGATTATGTTGGGTATATGAGGAAATTAAAAATGAGCTAATTCTAAAAATTCTTTGGTTTGCCAGTTACCACTGTGGTTCAACTTGGCATTTTCACAGGTTTTCTGAGTTTTTTTTTTTTTGCATTCTGTCCATTGTAGAATTCTAGAGGGGTATTAAATTAACCAGTACACTGTACACAACTACACTGTACAGTGTACAGTGTACACATAGCATATTGGGAAGACCATCACATAACCAAACACATTCTGGAGTATATGACATCAAAAACCCACAACCAATCACAGTCTGACTCTGAAATAGATGACATCACAATCAATCACAGTCAGGACTGTGCAGGAGGACATGCATCTGCCCAAAACTGCACTACGTATCATAGAAATCCACTCTGGATTTCTCTGGATAGAAATATACTCTCTCTAATCATTGATTAGATTGGTTCACCTAACTTCACCAGTCACCACCGTTTTGGGTTTGTCCAATTAAAGGAACGGTCACTGTTCCAAATTGGGTAATGTGTTGTTCTGGAACAAAGAGCTTGCATTTTAATATCATTGTATTAAAATAAGCTTAGCCATGAATGCCACATGTCCTACAGAAATGTAAATTTCAAAATAGACTCTATCTTTTATTTTTTCCATTCACCATAAGCTACTCAGCTGCTACTGCTCATGGAATATTTCTTCAGTAATGTGTAACTGCAATTAAATAATGACATGCAACTATTAGAGTGTAAAAAGTCCAATTTTACATGTAACTTACTTTGCAAACTTGGAAATACATAAATTTCTTAGGTCCTTTGAATACCGTCGGTACGGTATATACAGTACGTACTACAGAAGTCAAGTAGGTATTGTAGATACCTTCTTTATCATGCATGTGATATTGAATGTTCTTGAAGTGGCTCTAGGAATGAAGAAATGGGAAGTCAAAATTTATGTCATAATTTATAAATAGTGATATTTTATGTACAAAGCACTGATGAATATGTGCTTTTACCTGGTTATGGTAGACTTGGTCAGAACAAGCCACAGAACGGCAAAAATTGCATTGTTATTTGGACAACGTCTCACTCATTTCTATGAGTGGATGCTAAAAATGGCATGCTGATAGTGATGACTGTGCCTGTTGCTGCTTAGAATATTGGAAGAATAAAAGAAGGTGTAGATTTTTCTTTATTTTCTTCATGATATTCTCAGAATTTGTGGAGTCGTGGCTTTGTTGTGAGTAGCGCAAGTCAAATCCCCTGATGGTGATACGAAAATGCAAGTGGTGTTTTGGGAAATGTAACATAATTATAGGAAATGTATTAAACTCATCCATGCTGGTAAAAAATAAATGAAGATCACGCTGAAAAGCTGTGCACTACCAATAAAATATTCTTCAGCACACGAGCATGCTGTGTATCGATAAGCTCTGTCTTATTTTCTATCACTCAAGTTAATAATTAAATTATATATGCAATTACTGAAACTGCTCTTGCACCTCCAAGTAATGCTGCTGTTTTGATGTATGTTTCAAACAACCATTTTAAAAGTCAGGAATTGTAGCTTAATTTTCTATGCATATGACAAAATTTAGCACATCTTAAAATCAGCATCCATCCTAAATTATTCGGATTGCCGAAATCGTGAAATGTTCTATGAAATTATGTGGGAGCTATGAAATGGTTCAGTAGTTAGTCTTATGTCATTCAGTAGTGTAGTTATGTTCCACTTTACAAGGAGTGAGTACCACTTGTTATGCCATCATCAGTTCATCACCCTACACTCTACGTTGCTGATAGTGATGATAATAGTGTAGTCTAGACCTGCTAAGTGATACGTCTGAGACGGTGGCACATTATAATGAGCCTGACTTAGTGGTATTCAAGTATCTTGGATACCAGCATCTCGACTGTCGTGTGTGCAGTGAGTGTCAAGTATCTTGGATACCAGCATCTCGACTGTCGTGTGTGCAGTGAGTCTAGTATCTTGGATACCAGCATCTTGACTGTCGTGTGTGCAGTGAGTGTCAAGTATCTTGGATACCAGCATCTCTACTGTCGTGTGTGCAGTGAGTCTAGTATCTTGGATACGAGCATCTTGACTGTCGTGTGTGCAGTGAGTGTCAAGTATCTTGGATACCAGCATCTCGACTGTCGTGTGTGCAGTGAGTGTCAAGTATCTTGGATACCAGCATCTCGACTGTCGTGTGTGC